GAATTAGATGTTTTTTTGGAACTGTCTTGCTTTTTCGATGATCCAACAGATGTTGGCAATTTGATCTCTGGTACCTCTGCCTCTTCTAAATCCAGCTTGAAGGTATGGAAGTTCACGGTTCACACACTGTTGAAGTCTGGCTTGGAGAATTTTGAGCATTACTTTGCTAGTGTGTGAGATGAGTGTAATTGTGCAGTAGTTCAAACAGTTATATGTGCAGCCGATACCTGGAGTAGGAAATGGCAACCAACTCCAGTATTCTTGCCTGGAGAACTCCATGGCTAAAGGAGCCTGGTGGGCTACAGTCCCTGGGGTCATAAGGAGTCAGACACGACTGAGCAACTTAGCACAGCACATGGGTACTCAGCAAACATTGTTTGCCTTCACCTAGCGTGCTGCTGCTACTGCTGCTGCAAAGTCGCTTCAGTTGTGTCCGACTCTTTGCAAGCCCATGGACTGCGGCCCACCAGGCTCCCCCCGTCCATGGGATTTTCCAGGCAAGAGTATTGGAGTGGGGTGCCATTGCCTTCTCCGTCACCTAGCATAATGCCCTCCAAATCCATTCATGTTGCTCAAGTGGCAAAATGTTATTCTTTTAAAATGGCTGGGTAGTATTCCACTGCATTTATTTGCCGCTTCTTAATCCATTCATCTCTTGATAGGCACTTTGGTTGTTTCCATGTCTTGGCTATTGTGAGTAACATTGCTGTGAACACTGGGGTGCGTGTATCTTTTTGAATTAGGGTTTTTGTTTTTTTGGATATATACCCAGGAGTGGAATTGCTGGGTCATATGTTAGTTCTGTTTTTAGCTTTTTGAGAAGTCTTCCAACTGTTTTCCACGTTGGCTGCACCAATTTACCAATAGTGGTATTTTAAAATTATAAACGCAGCCCGTGTTAATATAAAACATTTGGGAAATAAGGGAGTCTCAAAGTTGAGTTTTGGCTGTTGAGCAGATCTCCTAGAGCTTTGATGACATAAAAGGAGGTCCTGAAAACTGCCTGATGGCCTTCTCCAAGGCCCCATCTTTTTAATCTTCCACCCCCAACCCCCCCCCGTCCCGTCCCGCCCCCCCCCCCCCCCGCCCCAGAGGCTTTCTCCAGCCACCTGCCAGAGCCCAGGTCTCTGACAACACAGGAATCCTCTCCAATGCCATGTACCCTTTGAATAAAATCTTTTTTACACTGTCGATTCCTAATCTGGACTCAGAGCTCAGGACTATTAAAGAGACTCCTGTTACATTGGCTCAGAGATCAGTGAGGGGCCACAGAATAATGCATTAAGCTCATAGTCTTAAAGGAAAGTTTCTATTTGCCCTGGTGTTTGCAGGCGATCACACGCTCTTCTTCCCACCTCCTGGGGATGCTGTGGTGCAATGAGGGTTGTCATGGGCGATGGGTGCCTCTTGAGGAAACTGCCAGAGACAAACAAGCAGGAAGTTCATACACTTGTTCTACCTGAACGGGTGCAGGTGTACAAAGATGCCAGCAGTCCTCAGGATGGTCAGGCCTGGAGCAGCTGGAACCCAGGATGGATGGCATCTGTGACCTGCCTCCTCTGTTTACCTGGCGTGTCTTGCAAATATCATTTTTTATGTGTGGTGTACTGTGACAAAGATTGAGAAGTCCTGTTCCATGCAGCGGTTCTGAGTCTTGGTTCCACCAAAAGATGAAGGATTCCTTTAGGACACACTCCCAGTGGTCACTTGAATGAATCTTACAGACAGATTGGAACTTTGGAGGTTACGCCTCCCCACCCACCTCCGGGTCAGTGCAGATTTCTCACAAATGCTCAGCAGGTGAACTCTGTCCTTCCAGTGATGGGGTGTTCACTGGCTCCTAAGCTCTAGACTTTACAAAATCCTTCCTCTTTTGTCCCAGAAACTACTTCCCTCTATATTCCACACATTGACCTGACTCTGTCCTGTGGATCACATGTAACAAGCTTTTATTGTGTCCTAAAGTAACAGTCCTTCTGATATTATCCCTCCCCTCAGAGATTTTGGGTATTTTATTAATAGTCTTTTTAAAGAGCAGTTTTAAGTTTTCTGAAAAATTAAGCAGACAGTACAGAGTTCCCCTATGCCACTCCATACCCCATGTCTGGTTTCCCCTCATACTATCTTATATTCTTATAGTACATAGTCACAGCGGGGAGCAAATATTAATACATTATTAACAGAACTCCATACTTGGGGCAGAATTCCTGTTTCTTTCACCTAACGTGCTTGGTCTGTTGCAGGATCCCACCCAGGATATCACATTACTTTAGTTCTGTCTCCTTAAGATAATGATCAAGTGTCTTAACTTGGCTATTCAGTGCCTTCCACAGGCCACAGTCCACCCTCTGCTCCAACTTAACCAGCGTGAGCTGTGAAGACCCTCAGAGCATGCCCAGATACTGTTTTTTTCACCCAGTGAGCTTGTTCCATACACTCCCTCCCAATGAAGGCTCAGGTCAAGCCACACCCCTTCTGAGAGCCACCCCCTGGATGGACATCTTCCTGGATGGACTGCATTCACAGTGGTCACTTTCTGCTTTGTTGTCACTCACTGCCCATGCTTTCTGTTTGGTATTTAGTTTTGGTTATGTTTTGAAATGTACTTTAAAAAGTAATTTTATTTACTTGTTTGTGTCTGCGCTGGGTCTTCACTGCTGCACGGGCTTGTCTCTGTTGCGGTGGGTGGGCTTCTCGTTGCAGTGGCTCCTCTTGTGGCAGAGCATAGGCTCCAGGGCACTCAGGCTTCAGCAGCTGCAGTTCCCAGGCTCTAGAGCACAGGTCAATAGTTGTGGTGCTCGGGCTTAGTTGCTCCGAGGCATGTGGGATCTTCTTAGATCAGGGATCGCACGTGTGTCTCCTGCGATGGCAAGCAGATTCTTTACCACTGAGCCATCAGGAAAGCCCTTGTAGTGTTCTTTTAATTTGTCCACTCTTCTCCCCCAGCTCATTCTCAAAGCCAACTTGTCACCATTGTTGATGACTAATCCCCACAAAGTTATTTGGTAAAAAGTTGGGACTCAGATTTGCAACTGCAGTTTTTGCTCAGATAGCATCATTGTCCATCAGGTAGACAACCAAATCCTGAATCTGGTACACGCTAGCATTAAATTAGCTTTGTCTGAGGCCATGGTCCATGCTTTATGTAGCCGCTCTCCTTTAGACCACATCCCTCTTCTGGGAAATCAAGATGGACTGTTCTAAATAGTCCCATTAGGGACTTCCCTGGTGGTCCAGGAGTTGGACTCTGAACTCCCAATGCAAGATGCATGGATTCCATCCTTGGTCAGGAAACCAAGGTCCTGAATGCTGCACAGTGTGGCAAAAAGAAAATAATAATAAATTAAGTTGGGGACTTCCCTGGTGGTCCGTGGTTAAGACTCTGCACTTCCAATGCAGGCAGAGGTTCAATGTCCGGATGAGGAACTAAGATCCCACATGCCGTGCAGCGTGGCCAATTTTTTTTTTTTAAAGTACTCCCCATCATGACAAGTCTATGGAGGTCTTAGCTGTGCTGGGTGATATTAAGTTGAAGTAGCATTCCCAGTTTCTATTTCATTGTGGCCTGGATACCAAGTTTTATGGATGTGGGTCTGGCACAGGCTGTGTCTCAGTTTTGGACAATTGTTATTCCCTAAGAACGAGCCGGGAACAGAACCTGTGGGCTTAAAGAGCAGAACCTAGATTCAAGCTGTAATGTGTCTTTGCTAAACTTGAGTCATTTTGGTGCCACTGTCATGCTTTTTCCCATATCTACATAGTCCTCACATTCTCTTTCACTTAAATTTTAGTTCCATCCTATATAATAACAACCACCAAATTACAGGTTTAATGTGCTAGTTATCGTTCTTTAAATGAATATTAAAGTAAATGCATAACCGTTAGGTAACTGTGATCGGTTATGTTGGGCTTCCCTGGTGGCTCAGTGGTAAAAGAATCTTCTTGCCGATGCAGAAGACATGGGTTGAATCCCTGAGTCAGGAAGATCCCCTGGAGAAGGAAATGGCAATCCACTCCAGTATTCTTTTTTTTTTTTCAATTATAAAGCAATTATATTTCCTATTTTATTTATTTATCTATTTTTAACTTTATTTAAATTATTTATGTATTTTACTTTACAACATTGTATTGGTTTTGCCATACATTGACTTGAATCCGCCATGGGTGTACATGTGTCCCCATCCTGAACCCCCCTCCAAACTCCCTGCCCATCCCATCCCTCTGGGTCATCCCAGTGCACCAGCCCCGAGCATCCTGTATCACGCTTCGAACCTGGACTGGTGATTCGTTTCACATATGATAATTACATGTTTCAATGCCATTCTCCCATATCATCCCACCCTTGCCCTCTCCCACAGAGTCCACAGTGGGGCCTAGTGGGCTACATTTCATGGGGTCACAGGGTCGGACACGACTTAATAACTAAAAAAACAAAACTTTGTTATGTCACACAGCTGCACTGTGAGCTTACTGCCCTTTAGTGGGTCACAGCTCTGCTTATTTGGTCTTTCCCACCCCACCTCTTTCTAGAGGTGAAGTACACTCTGATCAGGTCATTGGTGTCTAGACTGGGCTCCTATATTCTGGTAGGTTCTGCTAAGGTACCTTCAGAGCCATTCTGAGGGGGAAAGAGGTTCTGGGCAAGATTATAGACATTTTCTTCTCTTTAGAAAGAGCAGCTCTGCTTTCATGTCCTCCCAAGTCCAAGGCACTGGTTAAGGTTTTATTTTAAGAAAGGATTCTATGAAATTTTTTTAAGTGTGAAAACTCTTGGGCAAGTCAATCCAGGATATGCACTGGTAGAAAGATCATTTGTTTGGGTATTTGTTCATTCATTCATTCATTCTGTTCTTTGAGCCTCTCTCAGCTCTTCCTAGCTTGGGGGTCAGGAGAGCTGGCTTTGTGTGTATCCCACTTATTGCAATGAAGCAAAATAAGCATCGGGCACCGACGATGACACCAAGTCACATGTTATTCCAATTCTCTCTCACTGGGTCCAGGTTGAGAGTAAGCCTTTGCTTCAAATCCAGAAACCACCTACCAAGGTCAAGAACTTCAGGATGACCCAGTTCTTGAATAAGGTAGGAAGTGATGCTTCAGGTCTTTTCCCAGCAGAGGATGAGGGGAGGTGGGTGGCAGGGGATGGTCTTTAACAGGCATTTTTGGATCAACTCAGCATAACATGATGAACATGCTCTACCCGCATCACCACACCCCATCTCTGCCCAGTTTTAAATGTTGCTTTACTGATAGACTGTGCGTACATGCTCAGTCACCTCAGTTGTGTCCGACTCTTTGTGACCCCATGGACTGTAGCCCACCAGGTCCTCTGTCCGTGGGATTCTCCATGCAGGAAGACTGGAGTGGGTTACCATGCCCTCCTCCAGGGGGTCTTCCCAACCCAGGGATTGAATCTGCGTCTCATGTCTCCTCTGTTGGCAGGCAGTTTCTTAACCACTAGCACCACCTGGGAAGCTCCAACATCAGACACCTCTCTCCCAGTCAATCCGTCAGTGTGGGGGAGAGCAGGGACCCAGGTGGACAGGTCAAGTCAGTAGTGTACAGGAGCTGGAGGGCTTCCTTGGTGGCCCAGTGGCTAAGACTCTGAGCTTTCAATATGGGAGACCCAGGTTTGATCTCTGGTCAGGGAACTAAGATCCCACATGCTGCCTGGTATGGCCATAAGAAGTATATATATTTGTTAGAGGAGTTGGGCACTTGTACTGCCCCAAGGAAGGTTTGCATTGTACAGCAGGAAGATCTTCCCCTGGTCAGGGTGGTGAGATGTTGGCATGATAATAATAATGGCTAACGCGTCTGGAATATTCTACATAGATTGTTTGGTTTACCTCACAAAAGCCTTGTGAGGTAAGTCCCAGTTTTATCCCCATGGCAGTGCTGAAATAATTGAAGCTTACAGAAGGGGTCAGCGTGACTATCCAAGGTCTGCAGCTAGAAGGTGTAGGAGCAGGGATTTGAACCCAGAGCCCATCTGCGGGACCACTCCATTTTCTCTCCAAGAACTTCCGAGGCAGATTTTGCCCTGGATTTGGCTCGTCCTTGCTCTGGGGAGGGTGCTTGGCACACTGGGTCCCCCAAGGTGTCTGTAACTCACCAGCTTCTCCTGCAGAACACTAACACCAGCTTCACTTCGCTGCCTTTCATGGACACCAAGGGGAAGAAGACCATGGTGAGCTTCTCACACATCAGTAGTAAACTCCCACTAAAGCAGCCCTCGCTGTATCAGGTGAGTTGGGAGCAGTGGGTGTGACCTGGAGCAGGCAGGTGAAAGGCCTTTCTGCTTTCAGTCCACGTTCAGAGAGGTCTAGAATGGAGGGAAAAGACCTGAGCTGAAGACTCGGCTTCTGGTCCTGTCCACCTTCTTTACAATGAATGTGCTCAGTCGTGTCTGACCCTTTGTGACCCCGTGGACTGTACTCCACCAGGCTCCTCTGTTCATGGGATTCTTCAGGCAGGAATAGCTGAGTGGGTTGCCATGCCCTCCTCCAGGTGATCTTCCTGACCCAGGGATCGAACCCCCCTCTCCTGAGTTTCCTGCATTGCAGTCAGATTCTTTACCACTGTGCCACCTAGGAAACTCCCATACTACGCTTGATCTTAGCCAAAAGGCTGAGAAGCGATGAATGTAATGTTTATGATGAATGTAAACTTGAACAGTAAGTCATTGACTTTCTGTATTAAACAGACTCATGGTAGGACTGTTACGAGGATTCACTGAAAAGTGAAGTGTCAAGTGTATTAATGGTAGAAGCATGTATAAACAGTACAAAATGTTGGTTTTCCTTCCGTGTCCCCTAATTGTTTTGTGTAAGGACCAAATGAGATCACGTGAGAAAGTGCTGAGTTAAAGAGTTGTTCTATGCACCGATGTTCAACTGTTTGTGCCCTTGGGCAGGTCACTCTATCTAGTTAGGAACTGGCCTTTTCCAGGTCAGTAAGAAAGAACCATTCCCATCCTTCCTGCAGGAAGATGTCCCTGGGGTGTTCCGCTGCAAACTGTAATGTACAGGAGTTTCATGGAGAATATGGAGAGTCAGATGGATCCTTCCTTTGAGAGAGAGAGTGTGAAAACCTACTGTCTTTTCTTTATAATTCATGAATTCTTTAGTCGCACTGGATTTTCGATGCTGTGCAGGGTTTTTTCAGCTGTGGCCAGCAGGGGCTACTCTTCCTAGTGATGCTCCGTCTTCTCGTGGTGGCTTCTTTTGTGGCTGGGCACAGGCTCTGACTGCACTGGCATCAGCCGTTGTGGCTCCAGGGCTATAGGGCACAGGCTCTGCGGCATGTGGGATCTTCCCAGACTAGAGATCGAACCCTCATCCCCTGCGTTGGCAGGCAGATTCTTAACCACTGGACCACCAGGCAAGTTCCCCTACTGTCTTGCAATGACCATTTTTCTCCCTGGAGAGAAAAAGCAGAGTCTGGCTGGCTAGGGCTCTTCTTGGTCAGACCCATGGTTTAGGACACCCAGAAGTGGCCCCAAGAGGCCTTGATTGCGAGTGTCTTTCCCTGAACAGGAGAATCAAGCTCCCCATCAGAAGTCTTCTGAGCTCAAGCCTTCTGAGACGGTCTTCCCTTTGAACGTGAAAACCCAAGACACCAGAGCAGAGGAGAAGCCGCCAAAGAAGCCCAAACACAAGGTGCCTCTGACAGCGGCAGGTGTGGCTTTGGGGCAGCGGCGGGGTGGGTGTGGGCGCAGTTTTGAGGTCCATCAGTGCCTCGTCACTTACTGTGATGGTACTGGCTTGGCCAAAGAGTTTGTTCGGGTTTTCCTCTACGAGGTTATGGAAAAACAGCAATGTTTTTGCCAACTGAACACATCAGGGCAGTCTGAGCCAGGGTTGGAAAATAATTTCCAGACACAGAGCATTTCAGAAGGGGGTGAGTCTATTAAGAACAAAGAGCAGAGGTAATGTGGGCGCTTCACCTATAGGCCTGGTCTCCCATATGTCTTCATTTCCTCCTCAAGTTCCTTCTCTGACTCTTCAGCAGTTGGTCAAAGAATGTGATGTCCCTCCCACCTCATCCCTCGTCCTGGTTCACCTGCTCTTAACACTGTTTCTCTCTCTCTCTTTTAATATGACACAATTTAATGCCACCAGATTGCTTTGTTTTAATATGAAATATTCATATATTTTTTTCTTCCAAACATTCTATAATTACACATTTGATTTTTCTTGATCCAAGATTTAGGAGAGAGAGTTTGTTTCCAAGTGGCTATAATTTTGTATTGCTTTGTATCATTGTAGTTGATACTTCAGCTGTTGTTAGTTTTACCTAATATCTGCTTTGGGATCAGTTGGCATATGGAATCTGAATTCTGTGACCAGGGATTGAACCCCATCCCCCCTGCAGTGGAAGCATGCCAGGGAAGTCCCTCACCATCTCTCTTAAAGCTTGAATCCCACCCCGCCTGCACCGGACCAGATACCAGCCCCTGATGCAATGGCAATGTGGCCAGTATAGCAGACAATACACAACACACATCCCTTGCCAGGCTGAGACCTCCTGGCTTTCTGCAGATTTGAGCGGGAAGACCTCCTGGACTTGAAAGTCGGATTTATGCCACCTGCCTGCTCCTTAGAGGGCATCGTAGTTTGCGAACTCTCTCAGGATAGACTTGGTGTAGCCCAATGCCAGATGAACTTGGGTGATTTCTGCCTTAACTATACACTTCTGTTGACACTATGCTGACTCCTGAAATGTTCTACCCAAGCTGCTGCACCCATAGCTCTTTGGGGACTAAATCTCCCCTTGGCTTCCTTATTTGTGTAAGTCTTTATTGAATGTGTGACAATATTGCTTCTGTTTTATATTCTGGGGTTTTTTGGCCATGAGGCATGTGGGATCTTAGCTGCCTGATCAGGGATAGAACCTGCACCCCCAGCACTGGAAGGCAATGTCTTAACTGCTGGACCACCAAGGAAATCCCCCTCCCCACCCTTCTGGTGTGTTTTCCTCCTGGTTGGTTGAAATCAGTACCACACTTTGACACACCCATCCTTGTTCCACTTGGATCCTATGAGATCCAGGATGTACGGTCCTTCATGAGGTTCTTAGCCACCTTGTTGAGGAAAGAGCCACCTGGCTCATGAATAGGAAAGGATGCTCTGGTCTATACCTGGGTACATCCTCACATCACCACACCTTAACTAACATCTGCAGTATTTTTCACACAGAGGCCCTAAAGTTTTTTAAGAAGCAGCTGTCTTCTTACGAGCAAAGTGAGATCCTGGGCTACACAGAGCTGTGGTTCCTGGGTCTGGAAGCCGAGAAGCTCCACATGGCTCCGGAAAAATTCAGCAAGACAAGTTTCGATGATGAACATGGCTCCTACATGAAGGTGATGGGGCAGGGGATTGTGGAAACTGGCTTTGGGGTTTGGGGCTTCGGGACAAGAGATAGTCTGGAAAGGTAGAGAGCGTGGGGTATATTATAGCATTTGGTGCCGATGTATCTGGAACTCTGGGCGTCCTGAAGGATTCTGTTTGGTGCTAAATCAAAGAAATACTCGGTATTAAAGTGGGGAAACACATGCAATTAGTACACAAAGCACTCTGTTCACAGAATATTGATTTTCAAGAGTATTAGAGGTGACAGGTTTGCATCCTGGATGAACCCTCCCTCTTCCAGGTTCCTCTCCAGTGCCGCCTGGACCCATTGGGAAGATCAGACTTTGGACTAAGATGCAATCTTTCTAAGATTCCCTTTTTTTGTTTCCTCCATACAACTCCATGCAGCACCTTTTTCTATTTTATAAGAGAGGTCATTTCCTACAAACAGACAAAAAACGTTTTCCCACTGTCCCCTCGTGCACAGTGCTCCCTTCAGTTTCCTAAAGGTGAGTCCCAGAGACTCCTCCTCCCTGTCTTCTGTGTCCAGGGTTGCGGCCTCTTCCCAAGTCTGCAGGGGGCGTCTGGAGGCTACAAGGTGTTCCTTTCTACCTTGAGGATGTCCAGATGGATAAGGCTTAGTCTGCTAGCCCTGCAGGCTGTTGGAAAATTCCTCCTCTGGACACTTCCTCTTAGATTAGGAGATACAATTGATCTCTGATGACTTTATAAAAGAAGTGGATTCTCTTAATTGAATTCAGGGCTGTGTTTCCCAAGCTTTCTGGTGTGCAAAAATCACCTGGGAGTCTCATTACCAATGAAGATTCTTAGCCAGCAGGTCTGGGGTGGGGCCTGAGACCTTTCTAAAAACCTCCCAGGGGATGCCCACGTGCTGGTCCTTGGACCAGACCTTGAGAAGCAAGGATTTAGTTTCTGGCACACATCTGTCTAGAGCAGGGGTCCCCAACCTCCAGGATCTAATTAATGCCTGATGATCTGAGGTGGAGCTGATGTAATAATAATAGAAGTAAAGTGCACAATAAATGTAACGCACTTGAATCATCCCCAAACCATCTCCCCCCCTGCCTCGGTCTGTGGAAAACTGTCTTCCATGAAACCAATTCCTGGTGCCAGAAAGGTTGGGGACTACTGGTCTAGAGCCCTGGTTCTCAACATTTTTAGGTCAAGGATCCCTTTGGAAATCTGATAAAAGTTATAAAATCATTATCCCAGAAGAGACTGCACATATACAAAATTTCAAGGGCGGGGGGTATTCATGGGCCATTGGTTAAGAACCTCTGCTCTAAACCTTACCTCCAGTTCAGCCAGAGGCTGTCAACTTCTCCTTCCTCTCATCTCCCTCCCACCAGGGTCTAGAGTCTCTGGGAAGTTCCCCAGGGATGTTAATGCACTGCAACCCAGTTCCTCTATCTAAAATCTTAGAGCACCAGGGAGCAGAGGAGGGATGTGTGCTTTCTGTATGCTCAGAATCTCCATCCTCTTTGTGTTTCAGCAAATGCACAGTATGCAATGCACATAGCTACATCCCCAACACAGCTATACTTCCACATTTATTTTGTCAGCAAGTGTTCATGGAACACCTATTTACTGGGAGCCTATTGTGCTTGGGCACCTGGTGGACTCCTGAAATACAGAGGCAGCTATCAGAAATGAATAGGACCTGGCCCTTGGCCTCAAGCCAACACAATCAATGTGAATGATGACATGCAAGTGAATAGTCATGACACCGCCACACTGATGACATGTACAAAAGATGCACAAACGCCAAGTGACCTGGAAACCATGGTTTCCTCCCTCACCCCTACTTGACTTCTGCAGGTCCTGCACGACCACATCGCCTACCGCTATGAGGTTCTGGAGATGATTGGAAAAGGCTCCTTTGGACAGGTGGCCAAGTGCTTGGATCATAAAAACAATGAATTGGTGGCCTTGAAAATCATCAGGAACAAGAAGAGGTGTGGCTTGGTGGAAGGCATCAGCTGCGCAGGAAGGGCCACATGACTCTGGCCCCTTCTTTTTTTTAAGTTTATTTTTAATTAATGGTGTGTAGGTTTCTGTGATACAGCAACATGAATCGCCCATATGTATACATATGTCCCCTCCCTCTTTCACCTCCCTCCCACTGCCCCCCCATCCCACCCCACTAGGTTGTCACAGAGCACCAGGTTGAGCTCCTTCTGTTATACAGAAACTTCCCACTAGCTCTCTGTTTTACATATGGTAGCGTATGTTTCAATGCTACTGTCTCAATTCGTCCCACCTTCTCCTTCCCCTCCTGTATCCACAAGTCTGTACTGTACGTCTGCGTCTCTATCGCTGCCCTGCAAATGGGTTCATCAGTATAATTTTTCTAGATTGCATATATATGTGTTAATATATGATACTTGTTTTTCTCTTTCTGGCTTACTTCACTCTGTGTGACATCAGCCGCTCCTTGATGCCAACCCTTCCTGTCTCTGCTTTTCCTTTTCTTTCCCTCTTTCCCTCTCCACCTGTTCGATTCCATGATGGTGCAGAGAGGAGGCGAGAGCCTAGAGTGTTTAGCACATCCTGTCCTGTGGAGGTGATGGGAGGACTGAGAAGGGGGCCACCTGCTGTAGCTGATGGGACACCACATCTTCTGTCCCCACCCCCACCCTCCCCACCGCTCCCCAACCTCTCCAGATTTCACCACCAGGCCCTGGTGGAGCTGAAGATCCTAGAAGCTCTCAGACGGAAGGACAAAGACAACACCTACAATGTGGTGCACATGAAGGACTTCTTCTACTTCCGCAATCACCTCTGCATCACCTTTGAACTCCTGGGGTCAGCTGCTTCCTCTCTTTAATTCACTTTGTGTTGATAAGTTGCATAAGTGATGAAAGGGAGCCTTAGAGGTCAGAGCACTAGGTTTGTCTGTATGTGACTATTTAATGGGGGGGCTTCCCTGGTGGTTTAGGGGTAAAGAATCATTCTGCAGTGCAGAAGATGTAGGAGATGCAAGTTCAATCCCTGGGTGGGGAAAATCCCCTGCAGAAGGGCATGGCAACCCACTCCAGTATTCTTGCCTGAAGAATCCCATGGACAGAGGAGCCTGGCGGGCTACTTAGGGTCCATGGGGTTGCAAAGAGTCAGACAAGACTTAGCAACTAAGAACCCATGAACTGGCAACTCACACTTAAGCTTTTCTGGTTAAAATGCTTTATATTAGCTTTCAATATTTATAAGTCAGTGTATTTCACATAATATAGCAGGATTCTATAGCATTCAATATATATTCTATATATAGGATTCTATATGTATTCTCTCTATATAGGATTCTATATATATTCTATATATATATAGGATTCTATATGCATTCTCTCTCTATATAGGATTCTATGTATATTCTATATACATATAGGATTCTATATATATTCTATATATTCTATATAGGATTCTATATATATTCCTATATATATATATATATAGGATTCTATATATATTCTATATATACATAAGATTCTATATATATTCTATACTATATAGGATTCTATATATATTCTATACTATATAGGATTCTATATATATTCTACATATACATAGGATTCTGTATATATTCTATATATACATGGGATTCTGTATATATTCTACATATACATGGGATTCTGTATGTATTCTATATATACATGGGATTCTGTATGTATTCTATATATACATGGGATTCTGTATATATTCTATATATATATAGGATTCTGTATATATTCTATATATATATATAGGATTCTGTATATATCCTATATATATATATATATATATGATTCTGTATACTATGTATATAATAGGATTTCTGTATATATTCTATATATATATAGGATTCTGTATATATTCTATATATATATAGGATTCTGTATATATTCTATATATACATGGGATTCTGTATATATTCTATATATTCTATATAGGATTCTGTATATATTCTACATATACAAAGGATTCTGTATATATTCTACATATATAGGATTCTGTATATATTCTATATATACATAGGATTCTGTATATATTCTACATATACATAGGATTCTGTATATATTCTACATATACATAGGATTCTGTATATATTCTATATATACATGGGATTCTGTATATATTCTACATATACATGGGATTCTGTATATATTCTACATATACATGGGATTCTGTATGTATTCTATATATACATGGGATTCTGTATGTATTCTATATATACATGGGATTCTGTATATATTCTATATATACATGGGATTCTGTATATATTCTATATATATATAGGATTCTGTATATATTCTATATATATATAGGATTCTGTATACTATATATATATATATAGGATTTCTGTATATATTATATATATATATAGGATTCTGTATATATTCCATATATATATATATATATATAGGATTCTATATATATTCTCTCTATATAGAGAGAGTTATAAGATTCCTGTATGTATGCATATATACATTCACACACTCAGGATTCTTATATATGTATGTATATGTCTATGATTCCTTATATATAGGGATTCTATATTCATTTCATCTGGCAGGAGCCCGCCCTCAGCCCTTCCCGAGGGCGAGAGTGGGGACCGGGCAGGTGGGCTCACTGAGATGGGCAGGGCTCCTCCCTCAGGCCCTGCCCGCCCACTCCCTTGTGCCCTCATCTATCAGGAAGCTGCCATCTTTAGACATTTATTCTGTGTGGGCAGAGTTGGTCACTCGGTTGAGTAACTGGAGGGCTCCCTGGATCCCTCTCAAGGGGCTGAAGAACCGTGAATATATCAGAAGTTTGATATACTAACCTCTTAACACACACGTGTGTAGCAAAGTGATTAAAAGGATCCTGCATGTAAAAAAACAAACATCCGAGAGGCCAGCACGTTTGAATGTCACCCTGAATCTACCGTTAGTCAATGGAAAAGTCAAGTTTATAGGACACGAAAGCCCCACCTCCTAGTCTGGGTCTTGCCACTGCCAGAGGGCAACCAGGTGATAAGGAATTGATGTTGCAGGTTCAGACTCACCATCATATACCTTCTACGCTGCTTCACGTCACTTTCTCTCTCTCTGTCCCAGAATCAACTTGTATGAGTTGATGAAGGACAACAGTTTCCAAGGCTTCAGTCTCACCATCGTTCGGCGCTTCACCCTCTCTGTCCTGAAGTGTTTGCAGATGCTCTACATGGAGAAGATCATTCACTGTGACCTCAAGCCCGTGAGTGCAGCCTGTGTCCTGTCAGGGAGCTGGTTTCCACCCTCAGAAAGGGTTTGCCTGGTACCCTTCCCCAGTGGTAACTGGGCAGGGTTCCAGGGTGGAGGCTAAGGACTTGCAGGTTGTGTAAACCACGTGAGATGCAGCAAGGACAAGACAGGGGTACTGGGACATAGAAGAGAGATGTGGTGTCATCAAGGCAGACGGGACCTGCATGACTGAGCCCTGGGGGGACGGGGTACTCGGAGACGTGTGTCAAGCAGGGAGGCGGATGTCCTAAATCCACCCTGTCCTCTGAGTTGGTGCTGTGTGTGCTCAGTCATGTCCGACTGTTTGTGATCCCATGGACTGTAGCCCGCCAGGCCCCTCTGTCCATTGGATTCTCCAGGCAAGAATACTGCAGTGGGTTGCTATTTCCTTCTCCAGGGGATCTTATCCACCCAGGGATCAAACCCACATCTCCTGGGTCTCCTGCATTAGCAGATGGATTCTTTATCACTAGCGCCACCTGGGAAGCCCACTCCGAGTTGGTCCTAGGATACAGGAAATCTCCAAAGACTTCTTTTACTCCATATTGATGCCTCTCACGCCCCACGTGTCTGACTCCTGTTCTATATTAGCTCTGTCACTGCACTGATTACTTTGTGTTGGAATTGTTTCTTTATCCATATCCCCTGCTGGACTGCAAGTTTCTTCAAGGTCAAGGTCGGAAACCACGTCTTCTCTCCAATATATTCTCAGGGCAATAGTAATGATGAAAGTGAAAGTGAAGTTGCTCAGTTGTGTCCGACTCTTTGCGACCCCATGAACTGTAGATTGCTAGGCTCCTCTATCCATGGGACTTTTCAGGCAAGAATGCTAGAGTGGGCTGCCGTTTCCTCCTCCAGGGGATCTTCCCAACCCAGGGATCAAACTCGGGTCTCCTGCTTTGCGGGCAGACTCCTTACCATCTGAGCCACCAGGGAAGTAATGGTGGGCAGTTAACAATTGCTTGTTGGAAAGAGTTAATAAAGGACTTCCATGGTGCTCCAGTGGTTAAGACTTCACCTTCTAATGCAGAGGCTGTGGGTTCGATCCCTGGTTGTGGAGGTAGGATCCCACATGCCGAGGGGGCAAAAAACCAAAACATAAAACAAGCAAAATTGTAACAAATTTAATGAAGACTTCAAAAATGGTCTACATCAAACAATTCTTTTAAAAAAGAGAGTTAATGATTGCCATTGTAAGGAATACAGAGAGGTCACTAGGGAAAAGTTTCAAGGATATGAAGATCTGGGGTCAGGAGCTGGTTTCAAAACAGTTCACGGGTATGTGCCTTAATTTTTCCTCATCCCTTTCTCCTCACCCCCAAATTAAAGGTTCACATTATTTAAAAATACTATAACTCATTGGCTAGATCTGGGATGCATGCTCAGTTGCTCAGTCATGTCCGACTCTATTGTGACCCCATGGACTGTAGGCCACCTGGCTCGTCTGTCCATGGGATTCTCCAGGCAAAAATACTAGAGTGGGTTGCCATTTCCTGCTCCGGGGGATCTTCCTGACCCAGGGATTGAACCCGAGTCTCTGGCTTGGTAGGTAGATTCTTTATTACTGAGCCAGATCTGGGATACTTCTATTAATTAAGGATTGTCAAGATAGAGATGTTCTCTTGGGGCTGACTGGTAGAGCCACACAAGGAGAGTGGTACACTAATTTATTCTCCATATCCAAGTTCCTAATCCTCAGCTTTGCACCTCCAAAGGGACCGTGGTCTTTGGGCTTAGGGGACTGACTCTCAGCAAGGAACCCACAGGATAGGTGGTAGCTGAAATATGAGCGAATCGATTTGCTTGAGAAGTAGATCAAGTGGACAGGAATATACATGCTCAATAGAAAAGTAGACATACAAGCAGGAGAGTTTGGTGAGTGTGGATTCAAGAATCAGGCAGTTATTCCTGTGGACTTAGTGGTTAGTATCAGTGAGCTGTGACAGCCTCATGCATCTGATCCCTTGATTCATCTGATATTGAGATCCCTGGAAATATGATTAGGACTCTAACCTTCCAGCCCCAGGTGGGCCACTCTCATACTCTGAGAGGAGAGCCCAGAGCTCTGCCTTCTCATCCAGGATTCTGCTGGAATACCTGGCTTCACAATTTCTGCAAAGTCAGCCCAACGGTCCCAACTCCAATCAAATCACCATGGGGGATTTTTTTGTTTCTGTTTCGGTCCTTGATTGTCATACCAGTATGTTGCTGGGGCACTTAATGGAAGCATCGATTCAGGCAATGATCTTTCTTTTTCTTTCGCTTTTAATTAATTGATTATTTTTGGCTGCACTGGGTCTTCATTGCTGCACAGGCTTTCTCTAGTTGTGGTGAGTGCAGGCTTCTCATTGCAGTGACTGCTCTTGTTGTGAAGCATGGAGCACGGGCTCGTAGTTGTGGTGTGTGGGTTTAGTTGCTGTGCGGCATGCAGAATCTTCCCGTATCAGGGGTTGAACCCGTGTCCCCTGCACTGGCAGGCAGATTCGTAACCACTGGACCACCAGGGAAGTCCCGGTCAGTGATATTTCCAAGGCCTTATGCAAGCAAGGCATAGAAACAGGTACCAAGGAGATAAAAATAAACTCACCATCTTCAGGAGTCACAGCGTTTATGTCAGTCAAGAGTCAGTATTGATGCAAAAGAAATACTGCAGAGCAGCAAATACTTGGGCCAGACAAGAGATGCAGCCCTGGAAGCAGAAATCAGAGGAGGGAGACCGGGGTGGGGGGCGGTTTTGGAGATGTGGGGGGAGTCCCCCTGAAGGAGGTTCCAGAAGATTGGTGGACAGTTAGGTAAATAGCGTGCCTCGGCCAACATTGTTAAAGCTTGACCTGTGTCTGTCTTCCCTCTAGGAGAATATAGTGTTGTGCCAGAAAGGCCAAGTCTCTGTTAAAGTCATTGACTTTGGATCAAGCTGTTATGAACACCAGAAAGGTAGGGCTGGGCCAGTCCGTTTGTCCCAATTTCCCCATTGCGATTCTTTTCTTTCCTGAAACCAACAGTTCCCACATGAGGTCGCCACCTGGGTTCTCCTCTGGGCTCAGCCATCACAGTTGCTGGTTTGACTTTGAACCAAGCTGGTTCACGTCTCTGAGCCTAAGTTTCTTCATCTGTAAAATGCGAAGGGTGGTTCAAATACGGTAAGGCTGCTTTGCTGCTTTCATACTCTGTGACTGTGGAATTATCCAAAGACCTTTATCCAAGTTATCTTTGGGGTCCAGAGAGCACCGGGCCTCTGAAAACTGACAGCTTCTGAAGGCTGACCCCAGCTGTCCCAAACCGAAATTTCTGGGACAGTACCTGGGAGGCTGTACTTTAGAAAACACAGACATTCTAAAGTTTGGGGTTCATGGCCCTAGATTCTCCAGGTTATATATATATATATATATATATAAAATAATATATATATGTTATTATATATATATGTACATAGTCATAAAAACAAATATATATACATATATATGTATATATATATATATATTTCAAGCTAGAATCTAGAAAGCTGCCCTAGAGTATTGAATTGGCCAAAAAGTTCTTTCTTGTTTTTCCATAACATCTTACTGAAAAGCTGAACGAACTTTTGGGCCAATTCATTTCTACAGCTGTCACTGAACTTGATTCAAGAGTCTTTTCCTTTGGCTTTTGCCAGGTTTGTTGATGTCAAGAGCACATCCATTCCACAAACGTCTGCTGAGTATCTCTTGGGTGCCAGTCACTGTCTAGGGCATGTGGTATGTGTGCTGTCTCCTCAGTCGTGTCCACCTCTGTGTGACCCCATGGACTGTGGCCCACCAGGCTTCTCTGTCCATAGGGATTTCTCATCCAGGAATACTGGAGCAGCTTGCCATGCCCTCCTCCTGTATAGGGTATCAGGAACCAAAAATGAGCATTTCCTGTCCTCTGCAGGCTTCCTGCCCAGTGGAGGAGACAGGAAGATAAAAAGATAGTGTGATGTGTACAAGGATGAGACGTATATATATGGACTGAGCTAAGGCACATGAAAGAGGGGCTGTGGAACTAGCCTTCATGGGGCAGGGCGAGTCAGAGGAAGTCCCCTGAAGCTAGAGGAAAGACTATTAAATGGATGTTTCCGAATATTCTCCAAAACCATTTTTGGAGATGCAAGTCCTTTATTGTTTACATATGGAAGCCATAACAAATTCCAGCTAGAAAACATTATTCTTCCCAGAAAGAAAGAATATGCTCACCCTCTTTGGAGATGAACTCTCTGTAACCCATTACTTAAGATTTATCTTGGCTGCCAAGATGCTCAGAACTGAGTTTGTAATGATCTTACCCTTGGTTTCCAGGTGTTTTTTCCCCACTTTTATGTTTTCTGACTTCCCTTGATCTTTACTTTAACCACAAAACAGTAGAGAGAATGGATGCTCAATTAGAACTGTTTGAGTCCAAATCCCAGCTCTGCCACTTGCTGTTGAGTGACCTTGGGAATTTATTGAATCTCTGTATGCCTCAGTTTCCTCATTTTAAAATGGGTATGATAATAATACCTGCTTCAACCTAATAGTCCACCGACAGAGGAGTGGATAAGAAGATGTGGTACCTGTATACAATGGAATATTACTCAGCCATATAAAGAGAACGAAGTCGAGTCATTTGTAGTGATGTGGACGGACCCAGAGCCTGTCATACAGAGAGAAGTAAGTCAGAAAGAGAAAAACAAATATCATATAATAACCCAGAAACATGGAATCTAGAAAAACAGTAGTGGTGAACCTGTTTGCAGGGCAGGAATATAGATGTAGGTTCAGAGGGCAAACTTGTGGACACAGCAGGGGGAAGGAGAGGGTGGGACGAACTGGGAGAGCATCACTGACATATGTACGCTATTATGTGTGAAATAGACAGCTGGTGGGAAGCTTCTGCATAGCACAGGGAGCCCAGGCCAGTGCTCTGTGATGACGTGGAGGAGTGGGGCGGGGGAGGTGAGTGAGAGAGGTTCAAGAGGGAGGGTATATATGTATACATGTGGCTGATTCACGCTGTACAGCAGAAACTAACACAGTGTTATAAAAGAATTATACTCCAATTGTAAACAACTAAAATAAAATTATAACTGTTGTAGGGTAGTTATAAGGATTCAAACAGTTAATGCATATAAATCACTTGGAACAGTGCCTGACACATGTAAGCATCATGTGAGTATACATTAGACTTAACTTTTTTCTCTTATTGACTTTTCATTGAGGTATAGTTGGCCTTCTGTATAAGTTAGATTCAGGTGTACAACATACCGATTTGACTTTTGCCTAGGTATACAAAATGATCACCATGAGAAGTCTAATAACCATCTGTCCCCATAAAAGTTATTGCAATATTATTGATTGTATTCTATATGCTGTATATTACATCCTGTGGCTTATTTATTTTAGAACTTTTCAGACTTAAATTTGTACTTCTTGATCCCCTTCAGCTAGTTCATTCATCCCCACCCTCACCCCTCCCCTCTACTTTCCCATCTATTTGTACTTTGATTGCAAAGTGCTTCAAGTCCATTTTGGAAGCAGACAGGGTCTAAAAGTCATTTTTGTTAGATCTTCACTTTGTTTTAAATTAAAAAAATTATTACATCCTTACTGTAACCAATTCAAACAATAGAGAAGTGACTGGACTTCCTCCGTGGTCCAGAGGTTAAGAACCTGCCTGTAGGGGGCTGGGTTTGTTCCCTGGTCATGGAACTAAGATCTCACGTGCCAGAACACACACACACACACACACACACACACACACACACACAGTGAAGTGACTACAAAAGCCCTGCCCTGCCCCCACCTAGGTATCCAATTAACAGCATTTGCAAAATAACTGTAGTGTCCCATCCCTTTGTCTGAGTCTTGTCAACTATAAAATCTAGGCTGCCTACAGTACTACCTTTCATATGTCCTCCTCTGCTGAGATTTTGTTAAGCTTTTCTTTCTATAGTTTACATTATACAACACAGTGCACATACTATATTGAATACACATGTTAAAATTATGCATTTTGCATGCTACTTTTTCAGTTGTCATGCACCTCTTCCCTTGCCAAATTGCAATATTTTCAGAGCATGTCTTCCCCAAACTAATCAAACAGTTCGAAAACGTAGCTTTACACTTGCCGCATGCTTTCTTTTTTAAAAGCTCGTTTTGGTATCCACGTTTGTCTTCTACATCTGTGTCTCTGTTTCTACTTTGCGAATAAGGTCACCCATCCCATTTTTCTAGATTCCACATATACACGTTAATACACAATACTTCTTTGTCTCTTTCTGAGTTACTTCACTCTGTAAGGGGGAAGGCGGGGGGATGAATTGGGAGTTTGGGATTGACACATATAAACTATCGATACTAGGTGTAAAACAGATAACTGGCAAGAACCTACTGTATGGCACAGGGAACTCTTCTCAGTGCTCTGTGGTGCCCTACATGGGATGGAAATCCAAACAAGAGGGGGTATATGTATATGCATAGCTGATTCATATGGACATAAAGTTGGGCAAACTTCAGGAGATGGTGAGGGACAGAGAGGCCTGGCATGCTGCAGTCCATGGGGTCTCAAAAAGTTGGACATGACTGGGCAGCTGAACAACAACATCATAGCTGCTCCACTTTGGCATGCAGCAGAAACTATCCCAACACTGTAAAGCAACTGTACTCCAACAAGAGATCATTTAAAAAGCTTGCCTGACAAATTTGCTTCCTTAGAACAATGCCTTCTTTAGAGCTCTTTGTCAACAACTTGAGGATAACAACCCCTCATGATAATCAGGCTGCTGTGATGATGTGATGAGACAGATGTGGGATAGACTCATAAGTCATGCTTTCACACTGTGGTGCTGGAGAAGACTCTTGAGAGTCCCTTGGATTACAGTGAGATCAAACCAGTCAATCCTAAAGTAAATCAACCCTGAATATTCAATGGAAAGACTGATGCTGAAACTGACGCTCAAATACTTTGACCACCTGATTTGAAGAGCTGACTCACTGAAAAAGATTCTGATGCTGGGAAAGGTTGAAGACACAAGAGAAGGGGATGACAGAGGATGAGATGGTTGGATGGCATCACCGACTCAGTGGCCATGAGTTTGGGCAGACTCCAGGAGATGGTGAAGGACAAGGAGCCTGGTTGCTGCAATCCATGTGTTGCAGGACTGAGCGACTGAACAAGAGTAGATGAGTTGTAAGTGCTGCAGATACATGGCGCAGTGTGCTCTGGGAGGAGGTTTCCATGTGAGGTCTCTCTTCTCTCCCCCGCAGTCTACACCTATGTCCAGAGCCGGTTCTACCGATCCCCAGAGGTGATCCTGGGCCATCCATACAACATGGCCATTGACATGTGGAGCCTGGGCTGCATCATGGCCGAGCTGTACACGGGCTACCCACTGTTCCCCGGGGAGAACGAGGTGGAGCAGCTGGCCTGCATCATGGAGGTGAGGGGGCCCGGCTGCCTTCCAGCCGACACCCTCGGGGCTGGTAACTTCTGTTCTCAGAAGCCAGGTGGCATCTGGCTCGCTGTAGAGCCGTGGCCGGCATCTGTTAACAGGGGAGGGCTGGATGTTTTGAAACTATGTACACGTTTGAGTTGACATCTAGCATTTTTATCAGAAATTTAACTAGTTTCAAAGGATGTAAGTTTCAGCATATCATGATGTTTAAAATAAGACTGTTATAGCAGGCTTTCTAGGCTTTCCAGGTGGCTAAGTAGTAAAAAAAAAAAAAAAATTCCTCCTGCCAATACAGGAGATACAGGAAATGCAGGTTTGATCCCTGGATCAGGAAGATCCCCTGGAGGAAGAAATAGCAACCCACTCCAGTATTCTTTGCATGGAGGATCCCATGGACAGAGGAGCCTGGTGGACTACAGTCCATGGGGTTGCAAAAGAGTTGGACACAACTTAGCAACTAAACAACTTTCCCATATATTCAAAAGAATCTAAAAACCAGATTGACACAACACCCAACAAAATCTATATACTGTTCAGTCATTAGTTAGTCTTAACTTTCTGGGAAGAATATCTCCCAGTGAAAAGGTTTTACCAAGACTCTCATATAAGCATGTATTATGCCTGCTATTCTCTTACTTAAAGGCATCTTGTTATGAAGCCAAATTAGACAACAGAGGAACCTGGTGGGCTACAGTCTATGGGGCTGCAAAGATTCAGATGCAACTGAGTGACTAACACTTTATTTTTCTTTTCACTATGAAGCCAAATTAGATAGCACAGGAAAAAGTAATCCCCCAAAGTGGAAATTTCACATTTTAGGATTTTCCCAATGATATTTTGACTGTGAACAAAGGTATAGCTAATTTCTTACGTCTACCTGTTTATCTATCCATCCATCCCAAATTTGTATTTTCTAGATTTTATTAAAGATGGTTGGAGAGATACATATAGCTTTGAGAATTAAGAGATTCATCTTGTGCTTGAAACTAATAATAGAGTATTCAAATGCTTTAGGTATTAGTGCTATGATGATAGCCACGGTGGGATGAACACCACCCTGGAAATCAGTAAACCTGCAAGCTGCTACTCTTTCTCTTTGACAATTCACTTCCATGCTGTGGGTCTCTGTAAAGTGAGGTGACCAGAGTCCATGGCTTCTGAGGCTGATGATGGATGATTTAATGAAGCATCCCTGAGCCAATCATCTTCCAGTTTCCAGGAGAATTGGGGAGGGGGCAACAGATCCAAGGGGAGGTTCCCACTGCCCCAGAACTAATTCAGCTTCCTCTTGATCTCAAGCCAAGGAGCACGAGGGAAGGAATGTGGTTGGGAACCAGGCGGCAGAGCCAGGAACCTGGGCTGATGGGGACACCCTTGGTTTCTCTCCGTGCAGCCCTGTAGGTTGCTGTGCAGATAAGGTGACCAGGCAGGCGCTGCTCTTTTCTTTTCAGAAGTCATCCTGCGGCCTGATGTCCATCTGGTGGTTTCCATCCGCTCTTCCTCCCCTTCCCTTTGATGCTCTGAGCTGGCAGCTGTCACTCCATTCACGGGTGGTGCGCAGCTGCCCTGGTTTACTCGCTCTGGCAGTGAGAGCGGGCAGCCGCATCGAGTGCCCACCTGGCTCATGCTGATGCCTGTTTAGGGTAACGTGGGCAATGCCGATCGATTCTCAGGATACTGGAATGGCCCTGGATTAGGAGTCGAGCCTCCGGCTGTGGTCCTGCTCCACCACTGGCTTGAGGTTATCCTTTCAAGCTGCTGTTTGTTGTTTATTCACTCAGTCCTGTCTGACCCTTTGCGTCCCCATGAGCTCTAGCCCACCAGGCTTCTCTGCCCATGGGATTTCCCAGGCAAGCATATTGGAGTGGGTTGTCATTTCCTCCTCCAGGAAATCTACTTGACCCAGAGATCGAACCTGCATCTTCTGCATTGGCAGGCTGATTCTTTACCGCTGAGCCACCAGGGAAGCCTTATTAACTTCACATCTCAGGTCCTTGTCTGGAGAAGCCAGTTTGGCCCAAGTCCCCCCTGATTCCAAAAGTCTTGGCAAGTGTGACCCCAGGAGGGTGAATCTACCGCTTTGCCCTTATTGCAGGTGCTGGGCCTGCCACCAACCCGCTTCATCCAGACGGCCTCCAGGAGACAGATGTTCTTTGGTGAGTCCCAGGTCTGACTCTCTTTTCACCACGGTGGCTGATAAGATTCCCTAGCCCTTGAAGACACCTTCCATGCCCTACACCCCATGTGATGCTCTTCCTCTGGCCCCACCCCAAAGGGCAGGCTGTGCTTAGAGGTTTCGTTCAGAAAAGTGAAAAATGCTGAGAATGGTACCAGGTGCGTGATGGAGGTGGGTGGGGAAGTCATACTAGGAATGAGGTCTTGGCAGGTGCCTGAGAGTGACCAGATTCCTGCTTAGAAGATCCATCAGCAGGTCTCAAACCCTCAAAGCTTAGAACTCTCTGCTCTTTTATAAACCCTCCCCACCTCCCCTCGCAGCTTGCCTGCCCGCTCACATGATGCACTATGAAGGGAAATCAAAGAGCAGAAGAGTCCTCGCGAGAACAGTGGAAAATTCCATCATTAATGGAGCCCTATTCTTTCCTGCTGAAATTCTCTTAATTGCCCAGTCCCTTACTGTTCCAGGTTCACTGCGACTTCGCTATAAAACGGATAAGCAAGGGCTGCCAGAACAGTTTTGCTGTGGATATGCGATGACTTGTCAGTTATGTGCAGGATATCTGCCTTATTGCTGGAGTTCAGCCTCATCCACAGCCCCTAGGCTGCCCCCCGTCACAGTTCCCAGGCTCTGGAGTTTAGGCTTCTCTGCCCTTTCAGCCAAGTTGTGCTGAGCAGGACAGATAGGTGAATGAATGAGGTGCAACTGAGGCAGGGCTCTGGGCCACTCTGAACCAGAAGGTGACCCAGTCCTAGGGCTACGATCCCTTTCCTAAGGGATTCCCATGGAGCAAAAGCCACAGCAGCCCTAGTGATAGCCGAGAGGAGTAAAGCCAGGTGTGAAGTAAGGGGGCTCCTTGAAGGGACTCCCCACCATCTGAATGACACATCTTGTCCCATCAATAGCACAGTCAAAAGAACACTGCCCTGCGGGATCCTCCTGGACAAAAAGGTTGCAGTTGTGTCAATGATCAGTCCATGTATATTGGTTCAGCCACGTGGGGGTTAAAATGTAGTCTACTATATCATTTGGTGAAAAGGCCATGGCCCCGAGCCCCTGCCACAGCCACAGGTTCTCTGGCATCTCTCCCAGCACTCCTTGGAGCCCATGAGCCAGAAACTAAAAGTTTAAGGTCTGGCACAGAAGAGTCCTCCAGGATCCCCCTCCAATGCCAAAGCTGTCCTCCACTCTGATTGGTTGGTCCTGCGCCATCCCAGTGGTTACATCTTTTAAACGTCAGCATGTAATCATGGCCAGAGGCGTAAAGACTGCCTCTCTGAGTAGGGTCAGTGTTGGGGTCCCTGCTGCTTAGGGAAGTGCCCACAGGCTAGATCTTCTTTGAAAGTAGTCTGATGAAAGCAGACCTTCCTTCTTTGAAAGAAGGTCTGGCTGACTCACTGGTGTAACTTATGCACAAGGGGACAGAACTGGTTGTTTGACCCCAATACACTTTTCCCATTCACCACTTTTAACAGCCTTTTGGATGTCGAAGGATTTTAGGGCAAGATGAGTAGGCACATGCTGTCCCCTCCTGCTTGACAAAGACATTGTGGAGAGTCACCTCTCACGCCTATAACCCTGAACTCAGGGGACTGTACTTGGGGGAATCAAAGGGAAGGGGATAGAGGGCATTTTGGTAAGAGGATAGCAAAGGGTCACACATGTCCGGTTCATCAATAACCTGACTTTTACCATCAGCACCAGGCTTTAGAATGAGTGATGTGGTTTTGGTAGCAGCATCATGCATCTTGCCTTCCCGCACAAGAAAGGACTTTATTGGGAGCCGCATCTTCTTCTGTGCTTCCCAAACTTTATCTGATTATAAGAATCATCTGGGTTCTTCGAAATAGTGCTAATTCCCATCATCCTCCTATGATATGGTGGCTTTGAGTTGGGAGTCAGGAATCTGTATGTTTTTACAGCAGCTTAAGATGAGGCGAGTTTGGGAAACACTATGCCAACTTCAGATCTTATCTCTAGGGCTGTCAACAGGTCCTCCACCGCCCCAGCCACTCCAGGTTAATATCTCTAATTAGCAGCAAAGTGATGTTGCTTCAAGGATGGCAAGAGATGTGGGTGGTCCAGGCAGCAAGAAGGAGATGGGGAGGATAATGAGGTAATAGAGAAGACAGAGATGGGAAAAACTTGTACAAGAAAAGCAGTTACATAAGGATGACTGTAGGGTTTGTGTTATTGTAAGCCTGTGAGTCTGATTCTTTCTTTGATCATCTGTGAAAAGACAGCATAGGATAAGGTGGGAACCCGGTGCTACAGTCAAAAGGAAAGTGGAGATCTGATGAGATGGTTGGATGGCATCACCAACTCAATGGATGTGAGTTTGAGGAAACTGCAAAAGATGGCGAAGAACAGGGAAGCCTGGTGTGCTGCAGTCTGTAGGGTCACAAAGTCAGACACCACTGAGCGACTAAACAACAACAAAAACAGGACTTCTGCTCTAAGAAGTACCCCCAGCCCATTTGTATCTGTATAAACACATAGAGATACCCATGTGTGTATACACCACAAATACACATTTGTGGGCTCTTCCAGGAATTCAGCAAAAAGAGCAGGTGTTCTGTTGGACACACTGCAAATTGCATGGATTGCATAATTGGAAACACTTCACTGTGTACCTTTCATTGTATGAACCCCACTGACTTTTTGTGAGAATTCCATGGAATGTGTCACTTGTGTGTGTTTGTGTGTGTGTGTGTTTATATATCCACCCTTTTACATGCATGTTTGTAAGGTGTGAGCATACATGGTCATCTTTCTGAACACGCTCACTGGCGGATGTCCAAACGAGTGGTCTCACCTGCAAAGCACTGCACTAGGTGTTCGCAGGCTGCCTGTGGAGCTGTCTCCAGGGCTGCTTTTCAGCAACGACAGATCATACTTTTGGTGAGGGCTTTAGAAACAGTGGAAATGGCTCAAGAAAGGCATTCTAAGCTGTGTCTTAAGTTACCAGTCAAGTTTGACCATTGCAATTATGGACAAAATGTTGACATGACTTAAAAAAAAAAAAGAGGTGAAATCAATTTGCTTGTGTGGTTTGTACATGAGTTCTAAGAGCAAATTCCTTCTCCTAAAATGACTTTCTTGTTATTCCCCATGAATGTCCCAAATTCTCACATTTTGGGGTAAGTGAAGGAAGGAGCAGGGGCAGAGATAAGCCAAGAATGGACAGTATCCTTTTTGCTCAGAGCTGAATGTTTCTGTCATTTCATATTTACTTTTAAATTTTAAAAATTATTTTGTTGTTATCACCATCATCATTATTATCATCATAGTCATTATTTTACATTGGTTGAGGTTAAATCATTGAAATCATTTAATTGATTCCGGGAGGAGGTGGTGGGAAGGAGGCTTAGAACACATGGAGTAGTAGGAAACGTTTGTAAATTGCGTTCACTGGATTGGTTTACACGTGGTTATTTCAAACTGACTGGGGCTTTGGGGTGTGTTTGTGTGGGGGTTGGTGGGGGAGGGGGCGGTGTGGGACGGAGCAGGGGAAGGCTGCAGAGACCACGTGAAGCAGCAGCCTGGTTGAGTGAGGAGCTGTGATGTCATCATTGGGTATTTACACCTGGAACTAAACACAGAATGTTGTATCTCTAAAGATTCCAAAGGTTTCCCTAAAAATATAACCAACAACAGGGGGAAAAAGAGATACCCGGATTCCAAGGATCTCACCATGTTGCTGAAAACCTGTGACACCAGCTTCCTGGACTTTCTCAGAAGGTGTTTGGTGTGAGTTTGTCAGGGTGTCTTTGATTCTGGGGTTTCCTCTTCAATTCGGTCCTTTCCCACACATTTGCGGGTGAAAGCCTGGGAGGCAGTGATGACAGCACAATGAACACAGACCTTAGAGCTTCAGGGTCTACAAGGTGCTTCCCCATCCATTGCCTGATCAGACTGCATCCACCCACCCATTGTCCTGTGTGATCGGTGGGGCAGAGGACTTGTTCTATTTTGAGACGCAGAGGCTGAGGCTCAGAGAGATTAAGTGATTGCCCTGGAGTACACAGTGTGTAGGTTGAGCTTTCTTGTTTCCTTGGCCTGACTGTCTGGCAGTGAGGTTGTAGGCATGTCCTCAGTGTCTCCTGTTTCATGAACTGAAGCCAAGGTCTTCACGGAGCCTGTTGTAACTGAATCCACACCCAATATAAGCTGGTTTTAGCACCCTCCCTGGAGAAGGCAATGGCACCCCACTCCAATCCTCTTGCCTGGAAAATCCCATGGACGGAGGAGCCTGGTAGGCTGCAGTCCATGGGGTCGCTAAGAGTCGGACATGACTGAGCGACTTCACTTTCACTTTTCACTTTCTGCATTGGAGAAGAAAATGGCAACCCACTCCAGTGTTCTTGCCTGGAGAATCCCAGGGACAGGGGAGCCTGGTGGGCTGCTGTCTATGGGGTCGCACAGAGTTGGACACGACTGAAGCGACTTAGCAGCAGCAGCAGCGCCCTCCCCACCCATTCCCCTAGGATTTAGAATTTAAATCCTCTCATGAGGGAATTAGGGAAAGGGTGATCTATAAAACATTTAATATGTACAGTTTTTTAGTATCTATAGGCATATTTTGAACCTTAGAAAGTAGTTACTTCTGTACTTTAGTCAAGTCATAGGGAAAAAAAAAAAACAGCACACAAATCATTTTAGAACAGGACCTAGTTTAGAAGGTATTTAGAAAGTACTAGCTATTGTCACTATTTTTTAAAGTTTTTACTTACTTGGCTGCTCCAGGTCTTAGTTGTGGCATGTGGGATCCTTGATCTTCATAGACCATGCAGCATCTTTCAGTTGTGGCATGTGGGCTCTAAGGATGGACCAGGGATCAAACCCAGGCCCCCTGCCTTGGGAGTGTGGAATCCTAACTACAGGACCCCTAGGAAAGATCCCTATTGTCACTATTTTTAAGGAGGTTGAGACTTCCCTGGTGGTCCAGTGGTCAGGACTCTTTGCTTCCCATGCATGGGGTACAGGTTCAATCCCTGTTTAGGGAACTAAGATCTCACATGCTGTGTGGTGCGGCCAAAAAAAAATTAAAAAAGAACTTTAAAGAACATAAGAAAAGGTTCCTGAGAAGTGAGTCTCGGCTCAATCAAAATGAAGGACTTTTAAAGAACTGGAGTTTTCAAAAGTTAGAATAGCTAGTTCTGTGAGTTAGTGCCTTGTTGCTAAAATTACTCAAGAAAGTCAAGATGAGATGACTCCATGGTGGGTGTTCTGTCACATATATTTTGTTACTACATTAGAAGTTTGGATTATCACCAAGTCCCCTTTACAATCTTAATATTCTAGCATTCTTTAATTTTCTTTGTGATGTATTTGGAGGTCCAAATTCCATAGTTTGGGAATAGCAATTAAGTATCTTTTCATTTTGGTGTTCTTAGTATATTAAATCCTGAAGTCCATTGGTTTAGATGTTCTATACTATTTCTTGTAAGGGAATTGCTAGGAACTCTGGAAGCCTTTTGCTCTGAGATTTTCCTTGGCTTGTCATACACATTTTCTAAAAAGATCACTTCTACTTGTTGCTTCCAGGTACTTCAGAATGAGGGCTTCCCTCGTGGCTCAGCAGTAAAGAATCTGCCTGCAATGCAGGAGACCTGGGTTCAGTCCTTGGGTCCTGGGTTCAGTCCTTCAGTCCCTCCTCCTCTGGAGAAGGGCATGGCAAGCCACTCCAGTATTCTTGTCTGGAGAACTCCATGGACAGAGGAGCCTGATGGGCTATAGTCCATGGGGTCACAAAGAGTCATACACATACACAGACGCACACTTTAACACTGTATGTCATAATCTCTGTTCTGTGATATCTCTGAGTAACAACATAGCTTAAATGGGTTCTGTAAAAATGAACCATCTTTATATTTTATTTATGTTCTTTATTGGGGTCTTTGAGAGTATTTCATTATTAAAAAGGGAAGTAGAACCCTAACTGGTCCTGGGCTTTGTTGGTGTGTAGCTGGGAGCCCTCTCGTCGCATGACCCCTGACCAGGCGCTCAGGCATGCTTGGATTCATGAGCCTCGGAACCTCAAAGCTCAGCCCAGGCTTCAGACCTTGAGGAGAACGAGCTTCTGTTTCCCCTCTGAGTCCAGGAAGGACAGAGTTCAAGCACAGCATCACTTGGGCAAAAAAGGTACAGCCCCTCGAGTAGCCCATTCTGTCTTCATAATCCCAGGGGGTCAGGTGGCTCTGGAGAACCACATGTCAGTTCCTCTGAGCTCAGCCTTGATTAATTACTCTGGTTTCATCACAACCAGCCAGACATTTCTCTTTTTTTTTTAAGATTTTTTTGGTGTGGACCATTTATTTTCGTTATTGAATTTGTTACAACATTGCTTGCTTCTTCTTTTCTTTTTTTTTTAATGTGTTGAATTTTGGCTGCAAGGCATGTGGGATCCTAGCTCCCCAACCGGGAATCTAACCCGCAGCCCCTGCACTGGAAGACAAAGTCCTAACTACTGGACCTCCAGTGGCAGTCCTGGCCTGCCATTTCTTCATTTGGGGATTTTCCTCTTTCAAGAAACTTGCTTGTGGCTGGGTTCTCCTTTTTTTCCCCTCTCATCATTAGGAATTTCCATTTTTCTCCTATCTTCAATTCTCTTTCCTCTCCGTTTCTCTCAGTCTGTCCTCCTGTGTGTTCCCTGCCCTATTGATTTTTTACCAGACAGACTACAAAATTATGCAAACATCTTTTATATGCAATATAACCTCAGGGTTATGTACTTGATCACTGGAGTCAGGATATCTGGGATAAATTCTGGCCCCACCACTCACCAGGAGTGAGCCCTTGGGCAATTTACTTAACCTCTCTGTTCCTCGGTTTCTCCATTCATGAGAATGAGAGTAAGGCTGATTCTGTCTAGCTGCAGGAAACAGTGAAGGAATCAGTAACTGTCAAGTGCTTAGAATGATGGGCGCCTCCTATGGCTCAGTGGTAAAGAATCCACCTGCGGGAGATGCAGGAGACCCGGGTTTGGTCCCTGGGTCGGGAAGCTCCCCTGGAGAAGGGCATGGCACCCCACTCCAGTATTCTTGCCTGGAGAATCCCATGGACAGAGGAGTCTGGCAGGCTACAGTCCATGAGGTTGCATAGAGTCAGACAGGACTGAGCGACTAAGCACGCATGCTTAGAAGGATGTCTGGCACGTAGAATGTGCTTTACAAATGAACCATTTTTGTATCGTTACCACCAGGATTTCCCAGAAGTGATTTAGAACCTGTTGGACAGTTAGAACATAACTCACGTTTGAACACTTACTTGTTCCCGCTGTCTTCTCCTTGGCAGATGTGGTCCTCCAAGTAGAGGCTAAAGACAAAATCAAAGATGGCACCACCAAACAGGATGAGAATCCAGGCAACCAGCGAGGCTCTGGCCAGCACACAGCCGAGGTGATCCTTCTGCCTCATCTGGCAGAAGCTTCTGGAAAGCCAGAGGTGGCTGTTGGGCCAGTGGAGTCCAAGACCTCCGCAGGACAACAGAACAAAAAGTCCTCCCCCAAGAACACAAATGCTTTACCACCTATTGTGTGACCTGAGCGGAGGGTGTGTCTGCTCTTTTTCCTGATTTGTATTAGAGGCAGCGCTTATATTGTACAATACTTAAGATGTTGTTTTTTTTTTTTAACCCATAAAGGTTTGTTTAAGAAAAAAAAAGGACCTCTATTCACCTGGCTGATTGGCATGATTTCTGTGATGAGGGATTGGAAAGAATGTCCTTGCACCCAGGCTTCTTCCTTATGCCCTTAACCAAATAAACAACGGGTGCATGGGGTAGGGTGGGGATTCGGCAGCGGTGGGGATGTTACTGACCAGAGTTCTTGGCCCTCCCCAATAACTAGAAATTGACTAGAGGCCAGAGAGGCAATTCAGGCAAAGTTTTATTGGGGCCCCTGCTGCTGGAGTGGGGAGTGAGAACAAACAGCAGGTTCCCTTGCTCACTCCCTGGGTGAAGGGAGCTGGTTCCTTAAGTGTGGGGTAAGGGTACAGGGCATGGGTGTGTCCAGGGTTTGGGCTGGAGGAGTGGCTTGCCCATCTCTTAGGTGGTGGTGTGTGCAGGGGACATGCTCAGTACCCTGCTTTTGCTTCTGACGCCCCGTTTTGGCTCCAGGCTCTTCAGTGGATTTGTTGGTCTCTTTGTATCTTTTGGGTCCAGAATTTGCCCCCGACTTCACATACACATGGTTATTTTTCGTCCCATAGAGTTTCTTTGTATTTTGTTGCTGGAGGAGAGGTGTATCCATGTGCAAGCACTGCAGCTAAGGGTCCCAGGTCCCTTAGGGAGACAGCCAAGTACTCAGTGTTACAGCATCACTAGTAAAAGTGAAAGTGTTAGCTGCTCAGTCATGTCTGACTCTCTGTGACCCCATGGACAATACCCACCAGGCTCCTCAGTCCAACACTGGAGTGGGTTGCCATTTTCTTCTCCAGGGGCTCTTCCCGACCCAGGGATTGAACCTGGGTCTCCTGCATTGTGGGGAGATTCTGTACTGTCTGAATCACCAGGGGAGCATCACTAAGAGTACTGAAAGAACAGCATCATTAAGAGAACTCTAAATAATAATAAACTTTTCCCCTCTTGCCCGAGTTAACCTATGCCAGTTAGAATTCTGGTCTGGGAATGACAGAAGCCAAGTTCCAACTCGTTTAAACAACAGGGCATTTATTGATTTTTCATGACTGGGGAATCCGGATGGGTAGATGGAGACACAGCAGGATCTAGGAATTCAAACAAGATCATGGAGCTCAGACACTCTCGCCCCCTCTTAGTCTTGCTTCGTTTATGGTTGACTTCATTCTGAAGAGAAGCTCTGCCCAGGAGTTAAGATGACCACTATCATCCCATCAAAAGTAGCAGTCTTCCTACTAGTAGGAAAGTCTCAGAAGTAATTGGATTTGAATCCATCACTGCGTCTGAGATATTGGGGTCCTCCAATTGGCCAGCCAGGATTATAAGCCCACAGTGTGGTGGTGGCAATGCCATGACTGATGCTTCTCTAAGACCATGTGGAATAGGGGATGACAGGTTTCCTAAAGGTTGGAAGATGAGCAAACTACAGGATGTGTCCACTCAACCACCACCTGCCCTTCTAGTCTGCCAATGTGAACTCATAGATCTGTATATGGTTGTAATTACAGTACAGATAAATGTGTGCAAAACAAACACAAGATCATAACATCATAAACAACCTGGGATATATACCTGGCTTCATAGTTTTCATTTTAATCACTGTGCAATAGTCCATGAAGGGAGACATTGGGTGATTGAAGCCATTGGATTTGGGTGAGATCACCTGGGGAAGATGATTGAGAACAGTGGAGGGTCAAGAGGGTCAAATCCTGGGATAGAAAAATGTAAGGGGTCGAGTAGAGCCCCAGAGAGATGCAGAAAACTAGGAAACCTAGAAATCAGAGGAGGAGGAAGTTTCTAGAAGGAAGGATGGAGAATGTAAAATTGCTGGAGAACATATAATTCAGAAAGTGCTTCTAAGGTGGGGTGATATGGACATTAAGTCAGAGCAGTGTCCTAACAGGTGACCTGCTCCACATCCTCTAGCTGGAGAGGTACAGGACTGGCCACTGAACTCAGGTCCTCTGGACCTTTTTGGACCCCGAGAGTCTACAACCAAGGATAAAGGTGAGATGGACAGTTCTGGGGAGATAGGACAAGAAGTCAGGTTCTGGTAGCCTAATTTAAAGGATTCAGATTGGATATTGAAAAATACGTACATGGTTACAAAGGGCTGAAATAACTCTTGACAAACTGTGGCTTATTTAGGGACCCCTTTAAAGCAGGCAAGTCACAAGTCACTGATGGGTCGATGGGAAGTGCATATCCATAGATGACAGGCCCCCCAGCGTTTGGCTGGGCTCTCAGGCAGGCAGTACTTTTATTCTGCCAGCCATTGGGCTCTTTTGAGAGAGTCTACTTGAGACTGCTTCACCTTATCCCATTGGGGCTTCCCAGGTCTCGAACCGACTAATTGGAAAAGACCCTGATGCTGGGAAAGATTGAAGGCGGGAGGAGAAGGGGACAAACGGATGAGATGGTTGGATGGCATCACCGACTCAATGGATGTGAGTTTAGGTAAACTCCTGGAATTGGTGATGGATGGGGAAGGCTGACGTACCACAGTCCATGGGGTTGCAAAGAGTCAGACATGACTGAGCAACTAAACTGACTGAGGTCTCACTAGTAGTAAGGAACGCAGGAGACATGATGAGATGTGGGTTTGATCCCTGGGTTGGGAAGGTCCCCTGGAATAGGAAATGGCAACCCACTCCGGGATTCTTGCCTGGGAAATCCCATGGACAGAGAAGCCTGGTGGGCTATATGTGATTGCAAGAGTCAGATATGACTGTAGTGACTTAGCATGCATGCAATAGGTTAAATAATAAAGGACATTCTTCTTGAATTGACTCTCCTTGAAGAGTCAATTTTCCTTAACTGACCATAGCTACTATTGACTCTGTGCTCAAACTACTGCACAATTGCACTCATCTCACACACTAGTAAAGTAATGCTCAAAATTCTCCAAGCCAGGATTCAGCAATACGTAAACCGTGAACTTCCAGATGTTCAAGCTGGTTTTAGAAAAGGCAGAGGATCCAGAGATCAAATTGCCAATATCCGCTGGATCATCAAAAAAGAGAGTTCCAGAAAAACATCTATTTCTGCTTTATTGACTACACCAAAGCCTTTGACTGTGTGGATCACAATAAACTGTGGAAAATTCTGAAAGAGATGGGAATACCAGACCGTCTGACCTGCCTCTTGAGAAAACTGTATGCAGGTCAGGAAGCAACAGTTAGAACTGGACATGGAACAACAGACTGGTTCCAAATAGGAAAAGGAGTATGTTAAGGCTGTATATTGTCACCCTGCTTGTTTAACGTATATGCAGAGTACATCATGAGAAATGCTGGGCTGGATGAAGCACAAGGTGGAATCAAGATTGCCAGGAGAAATATCAATAACCTCAGATATGCAGATGACACCACCCTTATGGCAGAGAGTGAAGAGGAACTAAAGAGCCTCTTGATGAAAGTGAGAGAGGAGAGTGAAAAAGTTGGCTTAAAGCTCAACATTCAGAAAACTAAGATGATGGCATCCAGTCCCATCACTTCATGGGAAATAGATGGGGAAACGGTGGAAACAGTGTCAGACTTTATTTTGGGGGGCTCCAAAATCACTGCAGATGGTGATTGCAGCCATGAAATTAAAAGATGCTTACTCCTTGGAAGGAAAGTTATGACCAACCTAGATAGCATATTAAAAAGCAGAGACATTACTTTGACAACAAAGGTCTGTCTAGTCAAGGCTATGGTTTTTCCAGTGGTCATGTATGAATGTGAGAGTTGGACTATAAAGAAAGCTGAGTGCCAAAAAATTGATGCTTTTGAACTGTGGTGTTGGAGAAGACGCTTGAGAGTCCCTTGGACTGCAAGGAGATCCAACCAGTCCATCCTAAGGGAGATCAGTCCTGGTGGTTCACTGGAAGGACTGACTCTGAAGCTGAAACTCCAATATTTTGGCCACCTGATGCGAAGACTTGACTCATTGGAAAAGACCCTGATGCTGGGAAAGATTGGGGGCAGGAGGAGAAGGGGACGAGAGAGGATGAGATGGCTGGATGGCATCACCAACTTGATGGACATGAGTCTGAGGAGACTCTGGGAATTGGTGATGGACAGGGAGGCCTGGTGTGCTGCGATTCATGGGGTTGCAGAGTCGGACAGGACTGAGTGACTGAACTGAACTGAACTACTGACAAAAAGTTGGACAGGACTGAGCGATTTAGCACACAGGCATTGGTCCCATTGGATCCTAAGGAAACCAAACACTCGGAGCCATTTATTTGTAATTTTTATTTTACGTCCTTGCTCGCATGGACAAGAATATCTGCAAAATCCGGGACTAGCGCACGATGACGTGTCTTAGCTGTGAGTGTATGAAGATAATGCTGGGGCTCTGCGAGGAGGCGGGAGTGGGGGCCGCGGCAGTGAGGACGAAGTGGGGGCGAGGGCGGGGCCCACTGCGGGAAGGAGGGGCGGCGGCGGGCCCCATCACAGGTTCACCATCAGCCAGTCCAGCAGCTGCAGCCGCGTGACGTTGCCCACCGCCTCGTCCAGCTGTCGCTCCTTCTCGTACTGCAGCACCGACTGGAGAACCTTACCTACGCTGCACCCCTTTTCCAGGGCGACTGCCGAGAGCTGAGGTAGCTGAGGGAGGGAAAGAAAGCGTAGTCGAGGAGGCAGAGCGTCCCACCTAAGGCCGGGCGGGGCCTTCAAGGCCAGAGAGCAGGGGGCGGTGCCTAGCCGCGGGACGGCCTCCAGGGAGATGCTGAGACTACTTCCAAAACCGGGACACTCGCTGGCTTGTCTGACAAAAGAAAGTGGGTTCCATCACCCTTCATTTAAACGACAACCCCCTGTCCGTGATATGGAAGATGTCCCACAAAGACTAAGACTTCCTGCTTCCAGTGGGTGTTTGGTCAATGGTGTTCTTGCCTTCTAAGGAATCTGAAGTTCTTAAGCTCACTGTAACATCATAAAATGGGCTCCCATCACCATCCCTAGACCAACACGGACAGGAGAGAAAGAGCCATAGGACAATGTAGGTGCTGCTTTCTCAGCCCCATAGGCCAGAGAACCCTGGGATGATAGAGCAGGAAGGTGACTCAAACATGCATTCAACCCCCATGAAAATGTTGCCCGGAGAGGTGACAATTGTCAGTTATACAGTGCCAGAAATTAGCGGAGGCATTGCTCATACCCAAGTCTCTGAACTCTATGTTTAATCCTCTTCTCACGCATAAAATGAGAAAGGCCCAAGCAAGTATTCTCATGAGCCCAGTATATTGCCATTCATCTGGAATCCGTGGCAACAAATGAACCAGCTTTCCATTTTGTGCGTTCTGCAACTGACTCTATGAAAAATTCAAAGGGCAGATTAACAGGCCAAATATCAGGTGCTTTTTCAGGGGAAATTCCAGGCAGAGACTGAAGTGCATAAGCATACTCTTTAAACAGCTGGAAAGACAAGTTTCCGCAAAGAGGAGACAGAATGAAGACTCATTGTACAGCTAAACATGGTCATTGTACAGTTAAACAATAATACCAAATCCAAAATGAAAACTAAATAGATGGAGATGAGTAAAGAAACCCAGGAAAACTGAAGACAGAGCAATAGAAATTAACCATATTGAACAGCATAAGAGATAGAATAAGCCTCATTCAAAAAGATTGAGAAAATAATCAGAGTTCAGGGGCCTATGGGACAGTTCCAGAGGGTTTTACATTTAGATCTTAAAGAAGAAAAAGGGTAGTGCGGAAATATATTTAAAGAAATAATGCATGAATGCTTCCCCAGTTTGCTAACAGAAATACAGACAAATTCAAGAAGCATAGTGAACTTGAAATATGATGAACCCCCATAATTCACCTCAAGACCTATCACCATCAAATTGCTGAAAATTAATACTTTGGCCACCTGCTGTGAAGAGCTGAATCATTTGAAAAGACCCTGATGCTGGGAAAGATTGAGGGCAGGAGGAGAAGGGGACAACAGAGGATGAGATGGTTGGATGGCATCACTGACTCAATGGACATGAGTTTGGGTAAACTCTGGGAGTTGGTGATGGACAGAGAGGCCTGGCGTGCTGAGGTCCATGGGGTAGCAAAGAGTCAGACATGACTGAGCGACTGAACTGAACTGAAAGAAACGGGAAAAGATCGAAAAGTGGCCAGTGACAAATGGCACATTATACATAAGGGAACAACAATGCCAGTGACAGCGAATTTCTCATCAAAAACCACAGAGGACAGAGGAGTGAAGCAGCACTTTTTAAGCACCAAAAGAAAAGAACTGTCAAACCAGAATTCTATGTCCAGCAAACATATGCCTCAGGAATGAAGGTCAAATAAAACTTCAGATTAAATTCAGAGAATTCATCGCCAGAAAAATGCATTCTGTTTCCTTGCACAAAAGGAAAATGGTATCAGAAGGAAACTGGGAACATGAGGAGCAAACCAGCAATGACAGAAATGGCAAAGATCTCAGGATAAATGATGAATGATTTGCCTCCATTCTTTAAAATATGTTTTAGGGTTGAAAGCAAAAATAATATTTCCTAAGGATTTTAGGCAATAAAATTAAATAGATTTCAGGCAGCTAATTACATAAAATAACGGCAGCCTCAGGCAGAAGGGTGAGGGGCCCCATAGAGCAGGAAGATTTCTACATTCTAGCCTAAGTGGTCACTGTTGACTCTAAGTAGACTCTGACAAGTTAAGTATGTGGATTGTGGTACCCAGAGAAACCACTAAAAAACTATGCAAAGAGATATAGCAAAACACAACAGATAGATTAAAATGGAACACTGAGAAATGTTTAAAAATAATGCAAAAGAAGACAATCAATGGAAAAACAAAAAGGAAAAGCAGACGAAACAGAACTAACTGTTTAATCCCTGGGTGGGGAAGATCCCCTGGAGAAGGAAACGGCGACCCACTCCAGTATTCTTGCCTGTGGGGCCGCAAACAGACGACTGAGTGACTGACTCTTTCACTTGGCCTCTCCCTGCTGGGCTGCCCTCCTTTCCCAGTTGTGACAAGAAAATACGTCTCCAGGCATGGGCACATGTCCTGTAGGGGCGAGACTGCCTCCAGTAGAAGACAGTGGAGTTAGGCCAAGATTTATTTGATATGACATCGCAAGTACAAGCAGTGAAGGTAAAAACTAAACTAGATGTCGTCATTAAGAACTTCTGCTCTTTGAAACACTCCAGTAAGTAAAAAAATAAGCTCCAGACTGAGAGAGAGTATTTGCAAGATATATATATATCCGGTGAAGGACTTGTATCCAGAATACATCAAGAATTCTTTTAACTTTCTAACAACCCAAAGTATGGGCAAAAGATTTACAATTTAAATAGACAACTCACCAAAGATTATATATGAATGGCTAATCAGCACATAAAAAGATGCTCAACATCTTTAGTCATTTTAATGTAAGTATGTCAAGTTAAATCCACAATCAAAACCCACTATAACAGTTATAATTAAAAACAGAACAGAATAATGTTGATGAGGATATGGAGAAATTGAAATCAACAAAATTGCTGGCAGGAATATAAAATTGCACAGCCTGTTTGGAAAACAGTCCAACAGTTTCTTAAGAAATTATACTTACCATAAAGTGCAGTGGTTACACTCCTTGTCACCCAAGAGAAGTGAAAATGTATACAAAGACTTGTATGTGACTGTTCATAGAGGCATTAATCATAATAGCAAAATAATGGAAACAATCCCAATGTCTATTAACTGGTGAGTCAATAGTGAAAACATATACAATGAAACTCTATATAGCAATAAAAGGAATGAACTGCTGACATATACTGCAACATGGATAAACCTCAAAAACCTTATGCTAATTGTGGAGAGCCATATGTAAGTGGCTACATACTTTATGACTCCATCATTTTCTAAAATGAAAGGCACATCTGTAATGATAGAAAGCAGGTTGATGGTTACCAGTGGCTGGGGGTGAAACTGAGAAACATAGCCTAGAAAATTCTGAGATAGAGAAATAAGGAGTCTCTAGTCCTATCAGATATTAAGACATATGACAGAATTACAATAATGAAAGCAATATGCTACTAAAATAGTATGAAACTAGTAAGAACAGATGAATGACTCAATGGAATAGAACAGAAAGCCTAGGGAAAAAACAAAGACATATAGGTATCTGGAAAAAATAAGACTGAATCCCTATGTCACACCTTGTGTAAAAATGAATTCGAAATGGATCAAAGCCTTAAAACATTTTTAAAAAAATCATAATTGTACTAGAAGAAAGAACACATGGGGAAGTTTTGTTTCTATTTTGTAGTGGAGAATGTTTTCCAAAATATTACACAAAATCTAGGAAAAATAAAAGATAAACTATCATATTTGACCACATAAACATTTAAAATACTTCTTCATGGCAAAAACAACAAAACAAAACACCAGTCAAAAGTCAGATGATTAAAAAATCATACGTAATATCACAAAGGCTATTTTCCTTGTATTATGTAAAACTCTCACAGATCCATAAGAAAAAGACCAAACAACCTAGCAGGAAAAAATGGGCAGAGTTTACAAACAAATGATTCATCCATGAAAAAGGAAATTCAAAAACGGCTCTTAGGAACTTCCCTGGTGGCCCAGTGGCTAAGACACTGAGCTCCCAAGGCAGTGAAGCTGGGTGCTGTCTAGGAACTAGATTCCACATGCCACAACTAAAAGTTCACAAAAAGGGCTCAGTGCAGCCAAATAAAGATTTTTAACACATAAAAATGGCTCTTAAACACATTAAAAGATATTCACCTCATTCCTAAAAAGATAAGTGCAAAGTAAGGCAACATTTGGCAAAGACCAAAAGTCTGGCACAGACCGTAGGTTAGTTACTATGCAGGAAAGAGGTGATCTCATTTTATTTTAACAGGTGTGCGAATTGGTGCACCCTGGAGAAGGAAATGGCAACCCGTTCCAGTATTCCTGCCTGGGAAATCCCAGGGACAGAGGAGCCTGATGGGCTACAGTCCATGGGGTTGCAAAGATTCAGACACGACTTAGCGACTGAACAACAAATATGTATTAACTTGTATGCTGCATAAGCATTTTTGGAAAGATAAACAAGAAATTGATCAGAAAGGTTTTCTCCAGGGAGGGCAATGGAATTGGGAGATAAAAATGAGAAAAAGTCCTTAATTTTAATTGTGCATCTTTTTTTTTGTGTGTGTGTGCCTTTGGATTTTGAAGTATGCACACATTACCTATTCAAAAATGGATATAGGGACTTCCATGGAGGTCCAATGGTTAAGACTCCTCACTGTCAATACAGAGGGCCTGGGTTCCATCCCTGGCCAGGGAACCATGATTCCACATGCTGCAGGGCATGACCAACAGTTTTTTAAAATGGATACAAATTTGTTTAAAGGAATTGAGCTCATGGATATGCTGGTATTAGCAGATTTAATCACCAGCATTAGCATGAAAATAGTTGCCTATATTAATTAAATCTCTTTCCAAAAAACAACAAAAAAAACCACACCAAAACTCATATTTACATAGTTTCTTTGATGTATAAGCCATCCAACTTTTCTTAAAAATATGCTGCCACTCAGGACAAATCTACTCACCAGGTGACATTTGCATGTGCTGTTGCCCATGTTTCCCACTCTTTTCCTTTAAGAAAATGTGTGTGTGTGTGTTTAAAAGGAAGCCTGCAAGTCTATTGTATCATTCTAGAGAATTGTATCATAGACATTCTAATTAAAAATAATCTAAAACCAGAATGTATTGTGATTGTTACACAAGATCAAGTTGACTTAAAAGATTGTGTCAGAACAAAGTCTGTTTCACACACTGTACGTGTGAAAGCTATGCTTCTTTTTAGATTTTTCATCAGTCTAAAGCTTTCCTGAATATTGGCTCCTCTGCTAATTGCAACTTATGAAAATAATTTGGTGACTTAGACAGTAAATAATCTGCCTGCAATGCAGGAGACCTGTGTTGGATCCCAGGGTTAGGGAGATCCCTTGGAGAAGGGAATGGCAACTCACTCCAGTATTCTTGCCTGGAGAATCCCATGGACAGAAGAGCCTGGCAGGGTAGAGTCCATGGGGTCACAAAGAGTCAGAAACAACTGAGTGACTAAGCACACACACAAAATAATTTTACAGACTGGAAAAACAGTAAACAGACAGAATTTGCCAAGCAAGTACTCTTAGGTATAAATCTAAGATTGGATCTCCATGTTCTGTCCTCTGGCCCAATGTGGAACAGGCACACAGATCAATTGGGGGTTTTGCTAAAGGTTCTGATTCAGTAGGTCAGGAGTGGATCCTGAGGTTCTGTACTTGCCAACGTGTTGGTGCACAGAGACGCAAGGAACAAGTCTACAGGGTACTGTTACTGCAAAAGGAGCAAGTCTATAGGAGAGAAGACAGTTTCTCGTTTAGGCTGAGTATAGCCTATTCTGTGTGCAGTACAGTCCTGTGTCTTCCTGGTCATCAGATACACCAAGTAACCCAGTTACAAGCACTACTAACCCCACGCATCAAACAGAGAAAGCCTCTTCCTTCATATCCTCTGGTTTCTAAGAAGATGGATGCTTTTTATAATAACCCCAGCCTCTGGTGCCACCTCTTATTACTTAATTGGTAAATGCCATTGTTCCACTTCTCTTAATTGAGATGAAGTGATATTGGAAAAAAAAAAAACAAACCCTAAGAGAGAGAGTGTGTGTGTGTGTTGGGATGGTCTCTAAATTTCCCCATATTAGCACGGAGCACCAACTATGTAAACAAAAGCTTCCCAGACTCAAAATTTCCCTTCCATGAGCAGTTCTGAGGGCTAAATTGGGAGAAGAAAGGAGGTAGAAAGCATACTTACCTTTATCAGTAAGAACAGTAATAAGCTGATTTTCTGTCTACCTTATTCTTTAGTCTTACTTATCAATTGATTCAGAACTTAAGGTGATGGGAAGAGGGATGCTATTTACTGAATCCCTTCAAATCCCCAATGGCTCCTAGATCACCAGCAAGGAGAGGTACAATAGGCTTGAAAACACCACGAATCTAGACCCTTCGCCCCCAGCCAACACATCCCTGGGACGCGTTCCAGCGTCTCCTTCTCATTCTTTGGGCAAAGTCGTCCTACCCAGAGTTCAGTCTGAGCCCAGACCTTACTCTGATTCTTTCACCAACTCACTTGGAGGCTCCTTATTTGTGCATTCCCATCAAGATACACAGAAAAAAAGAGAAAAAAATTGTATATCTTCTTTTCTCTTTGACACACCTCTTATTGGACAAAATCTAGTTTTGATTTACCCATTGGCTTGGCTATGAGTTTTCAGCTTCGCATGTTTACTGTTCCCATCCTACCCTTCTTGGGGCTACCTTCCCATTTGGAAAGAAAAAGCACTTAAAACCCTAATAACCGTAATCAATCTTCCCCAAACCCCTGGCTCTACTGCCTTACCTTCTCCTGGATTCCTTCATCGTCACTGGCCAAGTACAGAATAGGGATGTTGAGCTCAGAGGCGGCTACCCACTGAAGAACGGCTTGGAGCTGCTTGTTCTGCACTGTGTCGGTCAGGTTGTGGTTGTTGACGATCACCTTGGGTGCTGCACACCCTTCAGGGGGCTGTGCGGATAGACCCCTCTGTTTATTGTGGATAGCCTGGTAGGCATTCTGCAGGAGCATCTCCGCTGTCCCTGTGCCCTCGGTGGACAAACACTCGTATAAACTCTCCGGGAAGTCTGACGTTGGCCTGCTGGCGTCCCCGGACTTGTCGTCTCCCAGTTCTGCCAATGGAGAGTCGCAGGACTTGGCAATGATGAGACACAACTTCATCACTGAGTCCATCAGATGGTCTACCATCTGCCCATTCATGTGGCCATCAAGCTGGTTAGCCACCATCTTGGTGAGCCCCGCAAAGGCACCCCCAGGCTCATCACATTCATTTGATTTGGTGGGAGAAGGGGTTACGGGTCTTTCACACTGGGGGCTGTTGTCTTCCTTGGTGGCCTTGGGATCACAGCTATGGTCGCTCTTGAAAATGGTCTCACTGAGCAAGTTCCGGATAAAGTTGAAGCAACTGCTCATTAGGTCCTTCTTTTCCACTTCTTCTGGGTCAGCTCCCACTTGGGGAGACCGGACACTGGACTCATGGGAAACGACCGAGGACTTAGTGGGATATAGGTTGGAGGTGCCAGCAGCTTCGAGGAAGCTCTGTGCATCCATGTTACCTCCCTGGGCCAGGTGGTACTGGATCAGAAGTAAAGCAGATACAAGCAGGTCCTTGGCCCAGGAGTCTGAGTCGCACATAAAATTCTCAGGTTTTTCTGGGCACTGCATAGGGAGGCTGAAGTTGCAGGGGTCAAAAGGGAAGTGCAGGGGAAAGTCCGGCACAGGTTTATACTGTCTGTTGGGAGTTACGAAGGGTAAACCTTGGAAGCATGCAGACATGCCTTCCTTCTGCTGGCTGTTGTGCCACAGGGTCAGTCCCTCTTTGATAATGTGTTCCCCCAGAGTTTCCATACAGGACTTCTCAGGTTTAGGTGTGGGGGTGCATACTTTCTCCCTCACTTTACCTTCCGATTTCATGGAGGTGAAGTTGACGTTTCGGTGTTTAGGGTCACCCATCCCTTTCATAGAGACGAGGGAGTAATGTTCAGACTTATCCTTGGTTTTCCTGACTGTCTCAGGGGATTTTTTGGCAAATATCACCGAGTAGAGTTTCCCCAACATGGCATCCATGATGTCCGTGGCCTTCTGGCTTCCATGAGAGAAGAAGCTTCTTTTCACGGCCGAGACAAAGTCCGTGTCTGTCATGAGGGTCCCTGTGGCATTGTGGAGGTTCTTCATAAAGGAGTCGATGAGGTCGGAGACCACTTCTTTGGCGTGCTTGATCAGGACCCTCTTCAGCACGATGGTGGCAATGGTCGTGTCCTTCACCTGGATCTTCAGGGTCTTCATGATGGATACCATCATGTCGGACACCACGCTGTTGGCGTAGGTCATGATCCCTTGACTGACGGAAGCTGTGAAGTCATTGGGCCTTTCATGCCCTCTGAACATCTTTCTCTCCGCCGGTAAGGTCCTTCCTCCCTCTTTGGCATCGCCCGAGTTACGAGATTCAAACACTTCCTTGTAGAAGAAAGACTTCTTACAGCCAGGCCTGTCATCTGGACCCCTGCCTCCCTTGGTGCTCTCCTTGATCTTCAAAGTGCTTTTGTATTTTAAATTTGGGGGGCTCTGTAATGTCCCCGAGGCTCTGTCACCAGAGCCCGGAGCCTTATCCAATGGGATGTTTTTGGAGCACGCGGTGACAGTCTCATTTACCAGCTCCGACGCCACTTTGCTCAGGCTCTTGGTGGGTGGGGGCTCATCCCCCATGTACACTGACTCGTGGACACACCTGTTCTCAGAGCCATCAATCCTCTCGTTGATCTCCTTGCGGGCCATGGCGATGACAAGATTTGTGAGGCGGTTGGCGTAGAAGGAGACTTCATCTATGGTGCTCCCGTTTCCGGTGTGCATGCTGGGGCCCTGGTAGGGGTTCTCTCTGTGACTCATCTCAAAATGCAGCCTCCCTGGACTGCCCCTGGAGGTAGTGTTGTAATAGTCCATGCAGAATCCTTTGCGCGGGTCTCCTTGGCTGACCATTTCCCTGCCGAGCGATGATTCTCCGGGCTTGAACCTAACATCTTGGAATCCTGCTGTGCTTTTTTCCAGGTCTCTGCGGAGCCAGCTGAGCACTCTGATGGGATCATGTGAGGCTTCCTTAAAAATAGACAAGGATTCATCCGACTATAACAAAGTAAAGACAGGATATTCAGGACAACTTCAAAGAGCAGTCACAAAAATGATCGCCCCTCTCATGTCTCAACTCCTCCATCAACCCAACAGATGGAAGCAACATTTACTGAGTGCTTACTATATATCAGCCTTCCCTAGTGGCTGTCAGTAAAGAATCCGCCTGCAATGCAGGAGACCGGAGTTCAACCCCTGGGGGGTCGGGAAGATCCCCTGGAGAAGAAAATGGCACCCTGCTTCAGTAATCTTGCCTGGGAAATCCCATGGACAGAGGAGCCTTGGAGGGTTACAGTCCATGGGGTCACAAGGGTTGGACACGACTGACTGACTAAAGCACTACCACCACCTACTATGTATCAGGCACTGTTCCGAGTACTTTAAAATTAGGACCTCATTTAATATTATTCTGTGTGTGCACATGTGTGCTCAGTTCATGTCTTGACTCTACAAGCCCATGGACTGTAGCCCACCAGGCTCCTCTGCCTGGATTTCCCAGGCAAGATTATTGGAGTGGGTTGCCATCTCTTCCTCCAGGGGATCTTCCTAACCCAGGGATTGAACTCACATCTCCTGCATTGGCAGGCAGACTACCAGGGAGCCACCTAGAAAGCCACTATTATTCTGGCAATAAACTTAAATGCTAGCTTTCTTATTATCTACATTTTAACAGAAGAGGAAATTGAAGAACTGACGGATTAAGTTAGTTACTTACCAGAGGTTACACAGCTAATCACTGATGGAGGAGGAGTGCCAACTGGACCAGTGACTCCTGGGCCCCTGCTCTCAGTCACCTCTAACAACATAGATCCTTAAGATCTGACCCTCGTCGGCTATAGAGTTCGAAGTTGCACCAAATCAGATTTCACATGTATTGCTATTAATCACTATTTTTATGGTTGAGCTGTTTTATTTAGGTCTCTTAGGACAAGTACAGGGCTTCTCTGGTGGCTCAGACAGTAAAGACTCTGCCTGCAATGATGGAGACCCGGGTTCAATCCCTGAGTCAGGGAGATTCCCCTGGAGAACTGAATGCAACCCACTCCAGTATTCTTGCTTGGAGAATCCTGTGGAGAGAAGAGCCTGGCAGGGTAAAGTCCATGGGGTCACGAACAGTTGGACATGACTGAGCAAAAAACACTTTCACTTTCATTACAAATATAGTTTTCAAAATATCAGAAACTTCAAGGACAGTGGTGCATAATTAATCACTTTGCCGGGCTACACAAGCACAATCTTGATATGCTCAGTGGCTTCCAGTGGACTACTGGGGATGCTTAAGTCTAGAATCTGATTTGTAACTGAAGAATTAATATCTGTGGGACAATTTATTAGTTTTGAGTGAATGCAGAGTCTTTGGTGGATGCTAGCTGTGCTAAGCATAGGCACACATTTATGTGTTGACCTAATTTATAATCTTCACTTGAACATAGGCTAAAATAAGAATGTATGTGAAAGTGTCCTATTTACCATCAAATGTAAGGGATCACTGCAATGATTGGAGTTATGTCTCTCTGAGGATAACCCCAAATACTGCTCATCTTTAAAGAATAATTTGGCATTTTAAGAGGAAAGGGGGAGGTGGGAGGAATTGGGAGATTGAGATTGATGCATATACACTGTTGATACTATGTGTAAAATAGACAACTGATGGGAACATGCTATACAGCACAGGAAACTCTACTTACTGCTCTGTGGTGACCTGAATGGGGAGAAATTCCAAAAGGGAGAGGGTGTGTGTGTGTGTGTATACACACACACATATATGCACTAAGTGCTAAGTCACTTCGGTCTTATCTGACTCTCTGCCTAAGGACTGTAGCCCTCCAGGCTCCTCTGTCCATGTGAGTCACCAGGCAAGAATGCTGGAGTGGGTGGCCATTTCCTCCTCCAGGGGATCTTCCCCACCCAGGGAGTGAACTCACGTCTCTTATGTCTCCTGCATTGGGAGGCGGGTTCTTTACCACTAGCGCCACCTGGGAAGCCCCATATACATATATACAGCATCTCACAGCTAGCACGTGGTGGGGGCCAGGATTCAAATCCAGTTCAGACTCTGAAATTGGCACTCTCCACCCCTACAGTCAACAGTCTACTGTAATGTCTGGATGACTTGGGAAGAAGACAAAAGCAGCTGGACCGCTACAGCCTGGTTCAAGCTGCTTGTGGGCCACAGAACTTGGTTCAAAGTCCTCTAGATTGTTCTCCTAATTTGAATAATAGCTACTATAAGGAAATTGGTACTCGAGTAGAAAACTATGCACAGTTTATAGCATACTCCTCCATGGTTTCTTGATTCTGATTCTCTTGGAAATACCTGATAACTCTTGAAACTATAGATAACTGTTAGCAATGCAGCATAATTCTTGTCTACACACATGTTAATTCTGACGAAGAAGGAATGATTGACTCTCTCCCACTTTGGAAGACATCAGTTTTGCTTCCATTTGCACAGTTCATTCCAATATTCCTGATCTACATACATGTCTTTTTTTGGACTCTCCTTAGAACTGCACCATGAATGAATTAAATAAAATCTCATTAATGAGTTAAATAAAATCTTTCACATGAGTCTATTTTATGTTCACCAGTTCAGTTCAGTTCATGTACTCAGTGGTATCTGACTCTTTGCAACCCCATGAACCGAAGCACGCCAGGCCTCCCTGTCCATCACCAACTCCCAGAGTTTACCCAAACTCATGCCCATTGTGTCGATGATGCCATCCAACCATCTCATCCTCTTTCGTCCCCTTCTCCTGCCCTCAATCTTTCCCAGCATCAGGGTCTTTTCAAATGAGTCAGCTCTCCGCATCAGGAGACCAAAGTATTAGAGTTTCAGCTTCAACATCAGTCCTTCCAATCAACACCCAGGACTAACCTCCTTTAGGATGGACTGGTTGGATCTCCTTGCAGTCCAAGGGAGTCTCAAGAGTCTTCTCTAACACCACAGTTCAAAACATCAATTCTTTGGTGCTCAATTTTCTTTATAGTCCAACTCTCACATCCATACATGAACACTGGAAAAACCATAGCCTTGACTAGACGGACCTTTGTTGGCAAAGTAATGTCTCTGCTTTTTAATATGCTGGCTAGGTTGGTCATAACTTTCCTTCCAAGGAGCAAGCGTCTTTTAATTTCATGGCTGCAGTCACCATCTGCAGTGATTTTGGAGCCCAGAAAAATAAAGTCAGCCACGGTTTCCACTGTTTTCCCATCTAGTTGCCATGAAGTGATGGAACTGGATGCCATGATCTTAGTTCTCTGAATGTTGAGCAGGAGAGTCATTATTTCACCTTTCTCTGAAAATGATCTTTTAACAGTTTTGCAAATCTTTGTCAAGATGTCCAACAGATGTCCCAGTCGGAAGGAGAAGGGTTCTTTAACCTCTGGACAAGTGAGTTTAGTTTTCTATCTCTGATCCTAAGACTCAGCACAGAGTCTGTGCCAGTCATTCATTACTGTCTCTCAAGTCCAAGTCTACCCTTTTTAGTCTTGCTTTGTGACTCTGGGGCTGGACCCTTTAAACATTGCTCCTTGGGTGGCTAGCTTTGTTGGCAGAGGGTGCTGGAGGGGTGCCACCTGGTCATCACAGGAGGGAGGGGCTTCCCTTCTGGCCACCTGTGCCCTCTGGCAAGTGTCTTCAGCACCACTGGGATGCAGGTTGCTGTCCTGCTATAGGGCATGCTCTCCAAGGAGATCTGAAGCAGCCTTGGTTGAGGACAAAGGGACTTTGTGAGCCTTAACTTTCTTCCCTGTTCACTGTTTCATCCTAGGGTATTAGCTGTTTCTGCATTCGCTGCTTCTGGATCTCTTATTGGAGTCCTCTTTCACAGCTTTTAGTAGTTAACTTAGTTAAATATGTCTTACTGAGTAGTTTTTTAGTATTAAATTCCTGATTTGGTTTCCCTTTTCTGATGGGATTCTGACTTAACAGTACCTGATACTAAGTAAGTGTGGAATAAACGTTTGTTGAATGATGAGGGCAGAACAACAATATCACTTAGATGAGTTTATAATTCTAAGAATTTTGAGGCATCTTACACATCTATAAACTTAGAATATTTCTGTTTGAGTCTCTATTAGAAGACTAAAGTTTTCCAACTGTTATACATTTTTTTTTCATGAACTGTGGCATATTTATCCTACTAAATATCACATTATAGGATTTTTAACCCCCCAAAATTATACATGGATTTTTTTTTATTCTAAAGGAGTTAATTTTCCCCCCAAGAATTTCATCTTCAAAAATAAGAGGTGGTGGGACTTCCCTGGCGGTCCAGTGGTTAAGATACTGCGCTTCCACTGCAGGGGGCATGGGTCTGATACCCGGTCAGGGAACTAATTCTTTTTGGTAATTACCCATAATGTTTCACATAACAAAAATAATAAACCTGCTTGTTGTTGTTGTTGCTTAGTCGCTCAGTCGTGCCCAACTCTTTGCGACCCTATGCTGCATGCAGGATGGCCAAAAATACGAAGGAAGAAATAGAGGTGGTGGGGGAGAGAATAAGCCTACTCTTAATGGCACTCCACATATTCCTAACTCTGTATGTATAAGGAGGCTGACCCTTACCATTTTCCAGTCTTGGGGTTGGCTGTCTCCGGGGGAATAGATGTCAACTTTGCATACTCCATTTTGGCTTTGTAACCAGTCAACCCTATCCGACATCTGGAAGTAGAAAAAAGGAGAAGGATCATCAAAAGGGCTAGTTTCATGGAAGTGAGGAGTAATAAGACAAATGACTGAGATGAGGAAAACAAGAGTGATGCTCTCCATAGACAACTGTCCTGAGAGTTATTTCAGATCCACTTAACTCTGGACCTCTGCATTCTCAGCTCCAAACCACAGAAAGATTTCCTTAGAACATGTATCTCTAGTGCAAGGCCAGAGGCTGGTGTCTTCTAGAGGTGCTTGATACAGATTTGCTCGTGAAGGAACCTGAGCATATTTTGTGTCCTGGCTTGACCACCCTTTCACATCTTGGATTTTCAGTATATGCTCGAAACTCAACTTGATCAAAAAAGAATTAACTGACTTTTCCCTCTCTGCTCTTGCCCCACCAACTTTTCTAAGTAATGCAGGCTTCTCTGTAATTGATTTCTAGAGGACTAACTTACTTATATTAGCAATAAGTCTAGGATGGCTTCCTTAAGAATAATCCCTCTTCCAGTTGGTCAAAAGTCCTGGGGGAATTCTCAGCCTCCATGGTTCCACCAAACTTCTGAATGGCAAGAGAAGGGAGATGTCTTATGCACCAGCCAAAGGGCCTTGGAGGTAGTGATGTCCTGGCTGATGTTTTTCATAACCCTCCCAACTCTTTGCTCTACTTCCTAATTTCTGTCATGGCACCACCATCTACCTGGTCTTCCAGAAAGCTGATCTTTATTTTACATGTATTCTTCCATCCCAAGCCTTCCTCTAGCTACTGCTTCTCTCTTTTCTTATTTGTAGTCATTTTTCTTGAAATAATTGCTCATGCTTACTGCTTTCACTACTTCATCTCACCAGTGAGCACCAACCCCTAATCCATGGGGGATTAGACTGTAGGCTTAGTCTCATCAACTTTCTGCAACACTGCATCTTATCTGACAGTTCTTGAAAATATGACTAATTATCATACTTGTCCACCGATAACCTACAAGTATGAGAAGCTTCTCTTTGCCCTCTTTTGTCAAGTCAGAATTCCATTATCAGGCTTCCTCACTGAAGTTTCCTTTCTTTTGTTGTAAGTGTTGCTTAGGCCTATATTTCTCAATAAACAAGGTGGAATGAGATGGCCATTTTTTTCTCCTCAGTGCCTCCATACATCTTTGTGAATAGACACACATATTTATATCTTGTTTTTAACAAATACACCGGCTTAAAATTCTGTCAAAATAAAGTTTAAAAGCTTATCCTAAATTTTTTTAAACAGTGAAATTATGTAAATAATTGCTTGAAATAAATGGAGCATTATTCATGATTCAATGTGTGGTTAATTGGAAATATTTGCTTTAAAGGACTTTGGGTTTTATTTGTGGAGGGTAGACATCTCTCCCCACAAGCAAAACCAACACAACTCAAACACAGATTATACACAATTTAAACTTATTTATATGTGGGTTTCCAGGTGGCCCAGTAGTAAAAAAAAAAAAAATCCGGTTCAATCCCTGGATTGGGAAGATCCCCTGGGGAAGGAAATGGCAACCCACTCTGGTATTTTTGCCTGAGAAATGCCATGGATGGAGAAGCCTGGTGGGCTACAGTCCATGGGGTGGCAAAGAGTTGGACATGGCTGAGTGACTGAAGAACAACATTAAGTAGGTTTATTATTTTTGTTGCACAAAACATTATGGGTAATTATTAAAAAGAAAATATAAGATCTTTCCGGAGAAGGCAGTGGCACCCCACTCCAGTACTCTTGCCTGGAAAATCCCATGGATGGAGGAGCCTGGTAGGCTGCAGTCCATGGGGTCACTATGAGTCAGACACGACTGAGCGACTTCACTTTCACTTTTCACTTTCATGCATTGGAGAAGGAAATGGCAACCCACTCCAGTGTTCTTGCCTGGAGAATCCCAGGGACAGGGGAGCCTGGTAGGCTGCCATCTATGGGGTCACACAGAGTCAGACACAACTGAAGCGACTTAGCAGCAGTAGCATAAGATCTTTCAAGAGCTATCTGTTCATGCTCCCAAAAGGATGTGGACTTGTTTTTATACCCCAATCACTAACTTAGGTCACTGATCTGGGGAAAGAGCTTCTTTCACTCTTCCTAACACTGTGATACAATAGATTCCTTAAACAAGCCATGGGTTTTACATTGTGATTAGACCTTAGAAGGATCTTGCTTAAAAGCACTGAATCAACAATTTAAAAATACCGAATCTGAGAGACTAATCCTCAGAGAACCTTATTTCACTGGTTTTAGAGTTTGGAAACAAGTGGATAAAACTTTCTTTTTTTCTTTTTAATATTTATTTGCCTGCACCAGGTCTTGGGCTTCCCAGGTAAGTCAGTGGTAAAGAATCTTCCTGCCAAACAGGAGCAACAGGAGACATGGGTTTGACCCTTGGGTCGGGAAGATCTGGAGGAGGGAATGGCAACCCACTATAGTATTCTTGCCTGGAGAATCCCATGGACAGAGGAGCCTGGAGGGATACAGTCCATGGAGTCACAAAGAGTCAAACACGACTGCAGTGACTGAGAATGCACGCACACACCGGGTCCCTGTTGCCACATGTGGGATCCAATTACCTGGCCAGGGATCAAACCCAGGCCCCCTGCATTGGGAGCCCAGAATCTTGGCCACTGGACCACCAGGGAAGTCCCAGCATTGAATTGCTTAAAAGCTCCTGGGGTGAGTCTAACAGACACCTAGAATTGAAAATCCCTGGGCTTATATGGAGAGATCCTCTCTGCAACAGACTTGACAGCTCCAGAAATACAATTGTTTATTCTTTAAAATATTTTTTTCTGAGATTTTGCAAGCTTCTTGGTACCTTATTTTAATGTTTTTTTAAACCCCTAACAATGAAGTTTTTACTGTCTATGAAGTTAAACCTTGTTTTGTCTCTCAGCAGTTCATTGTTTTATGTAAATATTCATATGCTTGAATCATCACCATGAATAAAGAAATGGAAGGCACTGTTCCTTGGCCAAAGAAACAAAAGACTTAGAAACAGGTTGCCTAGATTGTTGACAGTGCAAGTCTCTTAATCTCCGATTTACATTTCATCTTAATGAATGACTTCTAATGGAACATGACTATGTCAATAGGATCTACTGATTTATTTAGGCTACATGCTCAGTTGCATAGTCGTGTCTGAGTCTTTGCAACCCCATGGACCTCAGCCCACCAGGCTTCTCTGTCCATGGGATTTCCCAGGCAAGAACACTGGAGTGGGTTGCCATGCCCTCCTCCAGGGGATCTTCCTGACCCAGGGATTGAACAGGCATCTCTTTTGTCTCCTGCATTGGCAGGCAGATTCTTTACCACTAGCGCCACCTGGAGAGCCCTATTTAGGCTACACTGAACAATTAAAAAGCAGGGATGAAAACGAAGAACAGAAAGTAGGGAAGTTGTGTGGTCACTTACTCTTACTGAGGACAGGTTCTGAGATATGAGGAAAGCTCTGGATTAATTTCTTGTTGTCTTCACTATTCCTAAGTTTACCCACCTCTCCTTCCATGAAATATAAGGAATCTGCAATGGAAAGACACAAATAAAAATGACTAACATTACCTATGAACTTTATTGCTCTCATTACCAAATGATTTTGACCTATTTTCACATATGATATGCAAATGATGAGCACAAAATGTTATTCCCATTCCAAGTACAGATATCATTCTTGCAGTCTCGTGGTTCCTACATGACAATGAGAGTCATTTCCTAGGCAGGTTGATAAGAAGTCCAGGGGTCCCCAAGGAGAGAGGGGTCTGGAATTATCAAGGAGGAAGAAAGGACAAACTTTTTTCCCTCTACATTCCTTAGGATTATATAACAATAATGTATCCTGCTTGAGCACAGTCTCTGGAAAAAACCTTCTGGCTAATCCTGTTATCTTAAAATGTAAATTATGGGAGTAGGTCTAGTGAGGTCTTTACAACCTCCAGACATTGTTTTGATTCATTGTAATAACTAATTGGAGAGTATATAACTCCATTGCTAACACTAGCAAGGCGGTACTCTTTCTGCCCCTTCTGATGTCTATGTCAGAAGCTTTCTCTATCCCTTTTATACTTTAATAAAACTCTATTTCACAAAAGCTCTGAGCAATCAAGCCTTGTCTCTGGCCCTGGATTGAATTCTTCTCCTCCGGAGGTCAAGAATCCCAGCGTCTTTTTGTGGTTCAGCAACAGCCTTTCAACAACAAGGGTTTTATTATCTTACCAATTATTTCTGAGATGACTATTATTATTCTCCACTTTCCAATCACTGGCAGACAGACTTATTTAACAACAAGGACACTGAAAGTTTTTAGCCTAATCTGAAACTTGGTTTGAATAGGAAGTCAGAAGTTCAGTAGCTAGAATGGAGAGTAAGTGCCCTGAGCACTTGGATCTCAAAACACTTTGTAAGTTCTCCTCTGAGGATTCAGGGGCAATGAGTCCTTTCGTGGCAAAGGGAATTCACAATTAATGTCAAAACCAGCTTCCAGATCAATTATCTTCCTTATAATTGTCTGCTGAATGAATAAATATATGAATACTGCCTATTGCTAATTCTGAATAGCTCAATTTTTCTTTCTTAAACTGGAGAATCTGAGAAAAAATAAATGACTTGCTCAAGTCTGATAGGGTGGTAAGGCTTTCACAAAGTTTGAATCCTTTTGAGAATATGCTCACCCCAGAGACTTACTGAAGGTATAAACATTTATCCAATGATTTGTTAACACATCTCCTATCCCAATAATAAAAATGAATGAATTATCTCAAAAGTGCTCTTATACTTATTTCACACTTACTCGTTACATAGATTCAGCAAACACTTCCACATACATATGTCCAGAGGTTTTTATTCTATTTTCTATATCCTCTGCATGTTTGTTTGCATCCATGAAGTTTTAGACTTTAAATTCCCTAAATTGTCCTGGATAACAGTGTATATAACAAGGTACTTAAATGCTATTTGATGGTAGTGGTATTCAGACTTCTAAATATGTATACATGTCTCATAATGAAAT